GAGTGAAACGTGATATTCCAAGCATAGCTCTTTCTATTCTTCTTTGGGAGACCTGAATAGCGTTCTCATCTTGCTTGCGTAGGGCCCAGGTCTCTGAGGCATATGTTAATGCAGGAAGAACAGTGGAATCAAAGAGATGTGCCCGGAGCCGGAGGTTCTTCATCCTCTTAGCTATTTCTTCGACGTTCTTGAAGGCGTTCCAAGCCGCTCTCTTCCTTCTGCGCAGCTCGGGTGCCAGGTCATTTGTCATGTTGACCTCTCGACCTAGGTACACATAGCTGTTGCATTCGGAGATGGTCATTCCATTGAGAGCGAATGGGGCGTCAGGAACAAGGCTGTTTCTCATAAATATTGTCTTCGTAAGATTCAGCTGTAGTCCGACCTTTCCACACTCACGGTCAAAGTCGGCCAGCATTTGTGCCGCTTGGCTGATGTTTGGTGTTATTAAAACAATGTCATCAGCAAAGCAGAAGTGGTGTAGTTGCCGACCATCTATCTTCACTCCCATTCCTTCCCATTCCAGTCGTTGCATGATGTTCTCGAGGGTGGCACTGAAGAGTTTCGGTGAAATGGTATCACCCTGCCGCACCCCTCTCTTGACATCAACGATCACTTCTTTGTAGAATGGTGAGATCCTGGTAGTGAATCCGCAATACAGCTCACGGAGGATCCTGATGTATTGGGCTTGAATGCCCTGATTGGCTAGGGCTTCAATGACCGCTTCCGTCTCAACAGAATCTAAGGCCTTCTTTAAATCAATGAACGTTAAGCAGAGCGGCATCTTGAACTCCCGAGAAACCTCAATGAGCTTGGTTATCGTGTGGATATGGTCGATGGTGCTGAATCCTTTGCGGAACCCTGCTTGCTCGCATGGTTGTCCTTCATCTAGTGTTCTGCCAATCCTATTCAGGATGACTCGAGTGAACAACTTGTAGATGACAGACAATAGGCAGATCGGGCGATAGTTGCCAATGTCATGGATGTCTGAAACCCAAGCAGAAAAATTTGTAAGTCTACAACTATACCTCATAGTATTTCACTAATAAAAAATTTTTTAAAAATGAGTAACTTTGTAACTATGTATCTCATGGTGGTTTAATAAAAATAAAAATTAAAAAATAAATTTCTAGCATTGACCTTTTACTTTTTTTCTTTGAGTCAGTCATCAAAGATAAAATCCATAGTATTGAGTTTTAAAAGTAGAGTTTCAAAACTAGAAAGTGTTTGAGAATAACTTGATTTTTTATTAGCAAAGAATATGAAGTATTTTATCAGAGATATGGTAGAGTGACCCTTCCTTGGTTTTGAGGCTAGTTTGATGTTACTTCTTCGATTAACATTTATTTTCCCAGTGATTTGCTAGATACTGTGTTGCATTTCATTTGTAGGCACTTAAAGACTTTCATCTGTTCTAATTATGTCAATACTATATTCTTAAAAATAACCAGTATGAGGGGGTATGATGCCGCCAACAGGTCAATCTGTACCTGTGCGGTGAGTGCACCAGCAGCCTGATGGCACCTTCAGACTTCCAGATACCCCCAAATTGCTGCTGTGCCTTTGGCCAGACCTCAAAAACTTGGGGCAAAGTTTACCAAGAAAGTAAACGGCCAAAAGTTAGGTATGTGGGAAACACACCCACAAACCACCTCCGGCTCAGCTATATAATTAGAGGCATGGCCTCTCTGGTTCCTGATTGAACTGCTTAATGGCTATGATCCCAGAGACTCAGAAATAAATTTCAAAACCCAGCGGCTTTTGGCAGAAAGGCATCCGGTCCCTGCAGTAGGTTACCAGTGCTGGGCCACCCCAGGTGGGAATAGGTTTCGTGCCTTGACCTGTTCCCCCTGGTGGCCCAATGGCTGCCATCCTCCAGAGGCCACTGGACAGTCAGGTTTGGGCCCACAGTGATGAGATACACAGGGCCTCACAGGATGGAGGTGGAGCTGGTACTGTCCTCCCCACCCCAACGAGACCCCACGTCATTGCCCACGAATGGCCTCTCTGGCTCCTGATGAAGCTGCTTACTGGCCATGATCCCAGAGAGTCAGAAACAAATCTTGAAACCCAGTGGCTTTTGGCAGAAATGTGTCCAGACCACGCAGTAGGTTACTGTTGCCGGAACAACCCAGGGGGGAAAGGGTGTTGTCCCTCCATTTGCTTCCCCCTGGCGGCTCAGTGGCCATCATCCTCCAGAGGCCATTGGACAATCAGGTTTGGGCCCGCAGTGATGAGAAATGTTGGGCTTCATGGGATGGGGGTGGTGCTGGCCCTGTCCTCCCCACCCCAACTAGACCCCAAGTCATCGCCCACAAACGGCCTCTCTGGCTCCTGATCAAGCTGCTTAATAGCCATGATCCCAGAGACTCAGGAGTAAACCTTGGAACCCAGCAGGTTTTGGCAGAAATCCTTTCAGATTTAAGTGTTATAGTTTCGGAATTTCAAAATTGCGCAGCCACTACTGCAGCCACGCGACGTCATTTGTTATTCATAACCAGCAATAGAAAACGAATTGTCTACTGTTGCCTTTTCAGCAGATCTGAGTGTTGGGGTAAAAATCTCAAATAATAATGGTGGGTCTGGTGTCAAAATATTGAATGTGATCAAAGCAGAGAGAGTAATGTGTAAATCATCTGCCCCACAGGTAGGGGGAGGGTGTTGGATGGGGGTATACTGGGTTTGTTGGGGGTGGAGAATGGGCACTGCTGAAGGTACGGTGTTTCATTGTATGACCCGAGACTTAGACCTGAAAGCTTTGTAACTGCTCTCACGGTGATTCAATAAATAAAATTAAAAAAATGAAAAAAAAATAACCAGTATGGTGGGGCTGGAGTGATAGTACAGTGGGTAGGGTGTTTGCCTTGCACGAGGCCAACCTGGGTTCGATTACCAGTATCCCATATGGTCCCCTGATCACTGCCAGGTGTAATTCCTGAGTGCAAAGTCAGGAGTAACCCCTGTGCATCACCGGGTGTGACCCAAAAAGCAAAAAAAAAAAAAAAGTATGGCAGAAAATGCTGCTTATAGTCATCTGTACCATATTGAGGTTAAAACTCCACAGTGTCTCTGTTAATATAATTTTTTTTGGTGTAAAAACTGTTGTTAAAGGTGATTATAAATTGCTTTTTTGAAGGAGAAAATGCTCCCATTTTAAAGGATAGATTATTCTTCCTATCAGAAAGAGCCCTTGAGTCCCATCACCAAAGAGTTTTGGCTAACTGGTACAGTTGGGGCTGCAGCTGCATCTTAACATTCAGCGCTGCTTCCAAATTTTATGAGAAAGTAAACAGACAAAAACACTGTCCTCCCATTGTTCATCGATTTGCTCGAGCGGGCCAAGTAACGTCTCCATTTTTTTGAGACTTGTTGTTACTGTGTTTGACATATATTGACTACGTTGTGGGTAGCTTGCCCGTTGCAGGTAGCTTGCCAGGCTTTGCCGTGTGGGCGAGATACTCTCGGTAGCTTGCCGGGCTCTTCGAGGGGGTCAGAGGAATTGAACCCGGCTCGGCCATGCTGGCTGTGCACAAGGCAAACACCCTACTGCTGTGCTATTGCTCCAGCCCCGCCATACTGATTATTTTTTGCTCAGGAGAGGATGCTCTGACTCCCGTGGTTTTGGGAACTGGATGTGATGAGAGAAACTTCTCTAGTAATGAACTAAAGAAATGATCCCTGAAAGCCACTTTTACAGGTTGCAGTATTGTGACTTTTAACATATTGTCATTCAGATAACCAAAATATATTCTATATACATTTATAAATGACTTGAATCCTAGTTTCTTGACTCAAAACCCTTAAAACCCTTAGCATTTCCTAAGTGCAGAGAATAAAAAAAAATGTTTTGTGCCATGTCAATGAGGTGACTTTGGCATGCATCTAAGAATTAAGGCTAGTTGCCAGGAAAACTTTCAGTTTCACATTATAGAATGAGTTTGCCATTGGCCAATAATTTAATCTCATATCTAAAAATTAACGCCTCCACAAAAGCCTTATATTGATGACTTCAGAGCTTTTAGGCTGGGGGATTGCATAATGCTTCCATGTATCACTGTGCTGGGTCCGCCCCTCCCTGAAGGACAGAGTTCCTTTTCTCAGGACCTTGCCTTACATCTCACTTATCTGGGTGTTGGTTTATATCCTATAATTTTCTTTATAATAAATTGGTGACTGAGTGTGTAAATGGGTTTCCTGGATGCTTTGAGTTGCTCTCGCAAATCAATCAGACTTGACAGGGGGGTCATGGACACCTCTCATTTGTAGATGATTGGCCGGAAGCGTGTACCGGAAATGGCCTGTGACTGATTCTGAAGTGGAAAGTGATCTTTAGGAACTGAGCGGAGTGCTGGAATTGAGATTTTTTTTTTCGGTCTCAGTTTTGTGTCTGAGAATAGATATTTTGGTCTGTCACTCTTTCTCCTCTGCCTTTCCTTTCTTCTCCCTCTCCTGTGGTTCAAACCCCACACAGACCATGTGGATTACTATTACATACTACTGGTGTTAGGGTATTGTGTTATACTAAACACCAATAGTATGTAATAGTAATCTACATAATCTGCAATATCTATATATTTTTAGAAATCATCTTCTCATGGATATTTAGAGAGGATTTGTGATATTTGTAAATAAACTGATCACTTGGCTTTATGTTTAAATTTTTGTAATTAACTTTGAACAGTTACAATTTTTAAAGATTGGATTTATTTTAACATATATATTGCTCAGTTATACTTCTGTTTGCATAAAGGTTGAAAAAAAATGAATTTAAATCATTAAGGTAATCATTGATTATCTAACCTGGTTTCTCTAGATTCCTGTGAATAACCATAATAAAAACCATATCATCTGTTTTATCTTGTGTAAGAAAAATATTGATGACGTAAAATGCCTGATGTCAGACCTGTTTTAAATCATCACCAAAAAATTTCTTTTATGGATAAAAGAATCTTTTCAGGATAAAAGAATAACTCTTGTTTTTTTAAACCTTTTTTTGTTTTAAGGTGACGGATGTGGACATACTGTCCTGGGCCCTGAAAGTGGAACTCTTTCATCCATAAACTATCCCCAGACCTACCCCAACAGCACCGTGTGTGAATGGGAAATCCGGGTGAAGATGGGCGAGAGAGTGCGCATCAAATTTGGTGACTTTGACATTGAAGATTCTGATTCTTGTCACTTTAATTATTTGAGAATTTATAATGGAATTGGAGTTAGCAGAACTGAAATAGGTAGGAAATTTACTTGTAAATGTACATGTAATACAGTTTTCCTGAGTCTTAAAGCTAAAGAAGTCTTTGATGCTCAACATTTAATGACTGCTATTTAGAATATGTGGGAAATTACTGAAAATATGAAAAAGTTTTTTCTTTTCATCTTTTGCACTGTAGTGATGATGACAGTATGTAGTTTATGATGAGAATGGGAGGTAAGATTATTTGAATTCTTGTTCTGTAGAAGCTGAAAAGAAAATAATTCCCAGCATGCAGTGCTTTCTTTGTGTTAGACACTATACAAATCACTCCCATCAATTGATTTATTCTTCTCTAGAAGACTATATTACTCCCATTTTCTAGGCACACAAAACATTTTATTTTGGTCTCAGTCACATAATGTTTCAATACGCATCCATCCCTTCACCAGTGTACACTTCCATCACTAATGTCCCCAGGTTTTGCCTGCCTCCCTCCCTCTGTGACAGGCATGTTCTCTCTCTCTCTCTCTCTCGCTCTCTCTCTCTCTCTCTCTCTCTCTCTCTCTCTCTCCTGCATCCCTCTCTCCCTCTCTCTACCCCTCCCTCTCACCCTACCCCCACACTCTCCCCACCCTTACCCCTTTTGAGCATTATGGCTTGCAGTACTGATACTAAAAGGTTATCATGTATATCCCTTTCCTTATTTCCAGCACTCTGTTCTTGTCTAGAGTGATCATATCTAACTATCATTGTCGTAGTGGTCCCTTCTCTGTTTTAACTTCTCTTCACTCCACCTCACCCCCAACATTTGTGGCAAGCTTCTAACCACAGATCAGTCCTTCTGACCCTCATTTTTCCTGCCTTGGATATTAGTCTCGTACTATTTTATTTTATATCCCACAAATGAGTGCAGTCATTCAATATCTCCCTCTCTCCTTCTGGCTCATTTCACTCGGCATGATACTTTCCATGTCCATCCATTTATGAACAAATTTCATGACTTCATTTTATCTAATAGCTGATAATATTCCATGCACACAAAACATTTTGGAAAAGCAGCTGGGGCCAGAGAGATAGAACAAAGGGTAGGGTGGGTTTGGGGTCACCAGGGTTCTGCTTGGCAGTGCTGGGAAGGTGATGCTCTACCTGGTATCTACCCTGGGCCATGTGCATGCCAGGCACACGCTCTTGCCCTTTCTTTCGAGTTTCTGTATCCGTATTTTTAAGTGCTTGGTCTCCTGTTAGTGTATTTCTCTATCACATTCATGTTTTTCTTCTATAAAAGTACTTATAGTATTGTTGCATAGAAAGTTGTCCTTTTAATGTCTTCATTTTAAATTGTGGATTTAAACATTAGAAGGTTCTTTTGTCATGTTAAATGCTTTTTTTTTGACATCAAGATAACATATTTACACCATTATTCCTGTAGCACTGTAGCACTGTCCTCTGTTCATCGATTTGCTCAAGTGGGCACCAGTAACATCTCACAACAAATTGTGAGACTTGTTATTACTGTTTTTGGCATATCAAGTATGTCATGGGTAGCTTGCCAGGCTTTGCCGTGCGGGCGAGATACTCTGGGTGGCTTGCCGGGCTCTCCAAGAGGAGTGGAAGTATCGAACCCAGGTCAGCCACATGCAAGGCAAAGCCCTCCCTGCTGTGCTATTGGCTCCAGCCCACCATTATTCCGACTTATTATTATTTTCCTGGTATGCCTATCTTTATCTTTTATTTTTAATTTTTCTGAATCATTTTTGTTTAGGATACAAAAAAAATTTTTAAAGATCAGGTCATCTGCAAATTAAAATTGTATTTCTTCCTCATTTGGAAGCCTATTATTTCTCTGATTTCACTAATTATTCTAACTAGAAGCACCTAAAATAAAACTATAATAAAAATTTTTATAGATGGATGGATAGATAGGTAGATAGGTAAATAGATAGGTAGACACATCTTTCTCCTTTGTGGAGTCTTGGACAGAGAATCAGTTATCTGTACTCTGAACTTCACTGTGTAAGCAGAGGCCTCAAAAGGTGGGGCAAGGTGTTCAAGCATTCTGTTTGCCTCGCCAGATGCATCCTGTAGACAGAATATCAGAAATACTATTTACTATCAGCTGGTATCAATCTCCTGTCTGTATGAAATTTTTTAAGTTAGGTTTTTTTTTTCCTTCAAAATTTCTTGTCACTATTTTAAATAGTAAACACACCTTTTATAGTTAAAGTCTATACAGTCACATGCCTTTACTGTGTATTCTTTTGAATCGTGAAGTTTTTAATTGACCTTGTTTATTCTCCAGGATAATGTGATTTGATATTACTTTGGGGGGTAGGCCTCCCCAGTGATGTTTGGGGGCAGTGGTGGTCAGACCCTGCAATAGTTGACCCATCAGTGTGTCCTGACAATTGACATTTGATTTCTACAAGACTGCGCTATTATGGTCTAGTGCTGCTTGATGCCACCGTGCACATGCAGTTCTTGGGATCATGGAACATCGAACACCCCCTTGAGCTGTCTCCCTTGTCCATAAAGTGATTTTTAAATAGCTAAACACATAATTTTCTCCAGTTTAGTGTATTAGTATGTTATTCTGTTTTTAACATCGTAAATATTTATTGGCTTCATAATCTACTTTTTTAAAATTTAGGCAAATATTGTGGTCTGGGATTGCAGATGAACCATTCAATTGAATCGAAAAGCAATGAAATTACAGTGTTGTTCATGAGTGGAATCCATGTTTCTGGACGAGGATTTTTGGCTTCATACTCAGTTATAGATAAACAAGGTAAGTTTCTACTGTATCCCCATGGTACCCACATTTTTCAACTTCTAGAAAGAAAACAAGTAAACCAAAATGTTACTTTGTGTGCTTGTTTCCTGAGATTGGAGTAAAAGATGGAAGTTAGTAGCATAGACATAAATTTGAAAAGCAAAATGAGATCAGTCACAGAATTGCAAAATTAGTGTATTTTTAAATTAAGTCCCTATACTTCCTTTTTTTTATTAGAGGAAATACTGATAGTCTTACATGTATAAGAGTGGCATGCAATACTTTATGGTCCAATTTAAATTATTAAAATGTTCCATATTAGCCAAAAGTTTTATTATCCAATATGCCCTTTGGATATAATATGATTTTTCTGTTAAAAATCATATTACCATTTTACACACACACACACACACACACACACACACACACACACACACAGCGTCTCAAATTACCAGAAGTACCCCGGAGAGTATTCTCTGAAATACTACAAAGAAAAAGGTGATATTTCCTAGATTGTTAGTTTAAGATCTGAAGAAGTACAATTTAAGATCTAAAGAAGTATAGTAAAGCGATAGTAAAGGATATAAGACAGTTATATTTCATGCAGCTGATAATGGTTGAATCCCAGCACCACATACCGTCCACTGAGCAACGCCAGGAGTGACCTCTGAGCACACTACCTGGAGTAATCCCTGAGCATTGCCAGGTGTGGCCTTCAAATCAAAAACAAAGAGAAGGTTTTAAGGTTTGTCTATTAAGTGCAATAGAAGGCAAAACATACCTAATGCCTTTGACCAAAAAAACAAGAATTGAAACAAATTTCTAGAGTTTTGACCATTGTGCCATGGTTTTATTTTCCCTCTGCAGGGGCTACTCTGGTTGTAGCTTGTACAAAAGTATATCAAAATAGTCATGTCATTTAAATTAGGAAATGATGTTTCTGGCAGCTGAGCAATGATTTAAAAATAAGCTGATCTCTTGCTTTGGATGCAGCAACCCGAGTGTGATCCTGGACACCACATAAGATCCCCAAGCACTGTCAGGCATGAACTCTGAGCGAAGAGCCAGGAGTAATCCCTGAGCACTGCACAGTGTGGCCCCAAAACATAAGTAAACAAAAATAAAAACAGTTTAGTGATCATTTGATGTGTGAAGGCTAATAAAAGTCCTTATGACGACAATAAAGGGAGGAGTAGGGGAAAAGATGATTTGGGTAGAGTAATAGAAATAAAAGGAACATCCTGACTGAGAAATTAATATTTATGACAAGTGCCTGGAAAGCTAAGGCTGTCTGGTGGCCTGGGGTGTCTGTAGGTAGCCCTGGAACCAAAGCCAGCCTTTTCATATTTTATCTCTGTGAAATTCATCTATAAATTGGTTAGATATGAGGACTAAATGCAGTAATATGTGTAACAGTGCCTGACAATGCATGACATAGGAGCCATAAAACAAATGTTCTCTTCCCCGCCTTTACTAATGTATACTTGCATGCATACTTATTTTTTCCCCCACATCAAAATGAAGATAGGAAAAACCAATTAGGTTACAATAATTTTTTTAAAAAAATTTTTATTGAAATGCCATGATTTACAGTGTTATAGATAGTTCCATTTTAGGCATACAATAATTCAACACCAATCCCTCCACCAATGTTCCCAGATTCCCTCCCCATACCAACCCCCACTCTACCCCCACCTGTCAACTTGGCAGGCACGTTACAAAGTTTCAGTGGTTGCCATTTACATCTCATGCCTTCAGTTCTGCTTAATCTGTGTTTTGGGTATATGGCTATCCCTCACTCATAGGGTGATGATAAATTTGCATTTCTTTTTTGGATGTGTGTGTGGGGGGGGGAAATCCTTCAAAGTGGTTCTCAGAGTTGAGAGCATCTTGTCTGAAGATGCAGTGTTGGGCAGGCCCTGCTGTCACGGCATGTGCATTGCTCAGAGGGCCTCCAGTGCCACCACCTGGCCATGCGAAGGATTGAACCATGGCATCCTCTCTCTGGCCCTATGTTCTTTGGGTCTTCCTTCCAAAATGTCTTAAGTTGATAGGTAAGAGGCTAGAAGAGAAATAGTTTGTGGTTGCTTTTGATATTCCTTGGTCTTAATATGAGAATAAAATATTTATTTCGATGTTCTGTTTTTCATTCTCTTTGTTAATCATTTTCTGAAAATTTCTAATAATACGTATCCTCTCTTAAAATTAAGGTTTTTTTGCATTGCACATTTAAATTAGGAATTTTTGTTTTTTGTTCCACAGACACTTGAATGTCCTGCATTCAAGTTGTTTTAGGAATTGATCATGATTTCAGATATATGAATTGATGTGTTGTGTATATTTATAAATGCCTGGTCAAATTCAGAGTGTTGTGTCACTGTTTTAGATATCTTTTGTTTTGGGGACACAGTTGGTTGTGCTTAGGACTTACTCCTGGCTCTGCGCTCAGGGCTCACTCCTGGTGGGGTTCAGTGGGCCATATGGGGTGCCAGGGATCAAACCCGGGTCAGTTGTGTGGTTGGAAAGTGCCTTATTTCCGACCCCGAGGAGTATTTTCCTGTCATTTTCTCTTATCTGTTCATAGTAAATTTTATCTGTAAAGTTCAGTTTTGAAAATTTTATCGACAAGTAAAGGTAATGTTGGTAACAAGTAAAAATCTGATACTGGCAAGCTGCCCGTGAAGTATTCGATATGCCAGACACAGTAACAACAAAGTCTCCAATGGAGACGTTACTGGGCCCGCTCGAGCAACTCGACGATCAACGGGAGGGCCTTTACCTTTACCTTTTACTGATACTTCAAATGATTATGAGAGAAGTTAGTACATCAAATTCCAGAGGTTGCATTATTTTCAAGATCCACATTCATCCTCACCTTTCAGAAGAAAATTTTAATTTCACAAAACCTCATTGGAATTTAATGTCCAGTAATCTCTTTTTTTCTATATGAATTTATATTTTCCGTATATTTCATAAAAATGGGATCATGCAGTACATAGTCTTCTATAACTTTTTTCTTTGGTGTGTTTTCGGGTTCATCTTTTGTGTATGAATATATGATTTATCTTATGATGAAATTATATTCCATTGTATGGATATGATAGTTTCTTTATCCATATTAGTTGATGAGCATTATTTGCACAAGTGTTTATGTACACATAGATTTTTTAATCCTCTTTGGAATTCCTAGTAGGAAATTTTAAGAAACTGTAGGACCAGTTTCTAAAGGAACCACTATTTTCTAGTAAATGAGGATTCCGTTTTCTTGACCTCTTTGTCAGCACCTGTTACTGTGGGTTCATTTTTCATTCTAACCATCTTACTGAGTATAAAGTGGTATTTCATTTTTATTTTTTTATTTTTTTTTGCATTTTCTTGATAGCTAATAAGTATCTTTACATGTACTATTTGTTATTTGTATATCCTAAAAAGATAACACAATTTAATATCCAGTTTTGTTTGCTTATGCTTTCGGTGATCTAAGAAACTGTTGCTTAATTTGCTTAACTTATATTATTGTGTTTTGAGTTCTATAGTTTTGATGCTTAAATTTAGATTGTTTTATGCTAATTTATATATGTAAAGTAAGGGCTCTAATTTCGTTCACTTGCATGTACATATCTAGTTATTTCAGCACTTCTTGATTAAAAAAAAGACTTCTTTCCTGTTGAATTGTCTTGGCACTTCTGTCAAAATCAATTTTGAGTCAACTCAGAGGGCTTGAGACACTATTTGTATGCAGGAGACTGGTGCCTGGGTTTGAGCCTTATTACCATATGGTAACCTAAATTCTGAGCGGGGAGTAACCCCTGAGTAGTACCACAGAGTGTGTTCTGAAACCCCAAGACTAAAAAGTCCATCGACTATAAATTTGAAGATTTGGTTTTGAACTCTGAGTCTTATTTGTTTATACACTGCTGTCAGAAGTCTCTGCAGATGGTTTCCTTTGAGCTGTTTTCATTTTGCATATGCTGCATATGCTGGTTCTTACTATTTGGGAACCTTATAGAAATAATGTTTTTTTTTTATGAGAGACTGCTTAGTTGGGAAAAAGCTTTAGTGAAAGACATCTTAAAGCTTCTTAATCCTCTGCTTAATTTATATTTTCTCTGCTTTTCAAGATTTAAAGGTCAGAGCTTATAATCAGGATGTTCTCTACCTTTAGTTTACTTGATTCCTTTTGCTGTTTCTCCCAGGGAGCACTTTTGTGCCCCCATAGAATTTGAGAGCAGAGTCAAGTGAGGTATATATATTTGCATGTCACATTCTGGCGTTTCAGCCTTGCTGGAGATTTAACACTGCATGTGCTTACAATCAAAGCTTTGTTCTGATCAAGTGTGTCCATAGTTGACCAGTTTTCTGGCATGTGGCCCCTTGGTAATGGCCAACTGGCTGCTTCAGCTGGTATGAATGCCATGTGGGACCACATAGGTACCTTTTTATTTCTGAATTCCATTAATCTTAGGGGTCCAACCTCTAATTTTAGAATTTGGAAACACTTTAGCATAGGAAAGTTGAAAATCAGCTCTTACTGATTCTATATAAAGATTGCCTGAAATAACTAGAGAATAGGAACTTCAGTTTGTTTGACTATGGTTCTCAGCTGTTCAGCGTGGTAGCAATGAAGCCCTTTCCAGGCACTTCTTAAACTCAGAAGGCAGGTTTAATCATCATTCAAATGTCTGTGGTCTCAGTTCATCATACTAGTTATACTGATCCATGTTGGGGTTTTTTTTTTTTATAGTCCTTTTATTTTTAATTTAATTTAATTTTTTTATTAGTGAAACACCATGAGGTACAGTTGTAGACTTACAAACCTTCGTGCTTGGGTTTCAGTTATACAATGATCGAATACCCATCCGTCCAACAGTGATGTTAAATCACTCAAATAACTGCTTTCTATTGGTAATAAACTGTCATGATGCTCTTCTTTTACAGATAACTTCTGTAAACACATGCATTTCTTAGAATTATAAAATAGGATAAAATTAGACTGTTTTGTAATATAATTAGGTCTCAGCCAGGTTGGCACTTACGCAGATTGGTTGCTAGCTCAATACATGTAGTGACATTTTAAAGCCCTACCTTATTGAGAGCACTCCTCCAACATTAATGTATTCAAGAATCACCTATATGTCTTGTTGAAGCAAATTTTGGGACCCCCCTCTCAGATATTTGTAAGTTGGGATGTTGTTGTTCAGAATTTGAAATTTGAGTAAGTTCCTAGAAGATACTAGTGCTACTGGGCTCTCTGGGCTCAAAAAGCTGCTATTTTGAATAGCAGTTATTCAGAAGCACAGAAGTAACTAACCTTTCTTTGGTTGTTGTTTTATTTGTGTGTGTGTGTGTGTGTGTGTGTGTGTGTGTGTGTGTGTGTGTGTGATCAGCAAGGGATTTTAATAACTAAATATTTTGGTGTTTAAGAAGCTAAATTTTATGGAAGCAAGTTGACTCATGAATCATATCTGCCTGAGTTGGTTCTTTGTATGTGACTAAAATATTGTGTGGTCACTGTCACTGTCACTGTCCTCCCGTTGTTCATCTATTTGCTCGAGCGGGCCCAATAACATCCCCATTGTGACAATTGTTACTGTGTTTGGCATATCGAATACGTCACGGGTAGCTTGCCAGGCTTTGCCATATGGGTGAGATACTCTCAGTAGCTCGCCGGGCTCTCTAAGAGGGACGGAGAAAATAGTAATAATTTATATAATAATAAAAAACTAAGAAGTTTTTAGGACAGGATCTGGAGAGATAGTTCAAAGGGCTGATCTATACCTGGCATGTTTGAGGCCCTGAGTTCTATCCCTGGCATTGAATGGCCTCTAGGCATCACTGAGTTGAACCTGGTTGCTTTCAACAGTATTGGACGCAGGCAGCATCACATCACTGGGCCTGAGTCCAGAATCATCAGGCCCACATCAGGGTAAGTATCCTCAGGCATGGGCCCTGAGTGCCCCACTTCCTCAATACACCACAAAAGAAAATTATTAGTGTGACCTTTCACAAGCTGTTGGGAATTTTTTTTTAATTTCAAACAAAAAAGAAATGGGATTTGAAACAGATGAATATTTCAGCAAGAATAAATATATATCATTGAATCCAATTTTCATTTTATTATTTTTAGATCTAATTACTTGTTTGGACACTGCATCCAATTTTTTGGAACCTGAGTTCAGGTATGACTATATTTATGAATTCTTATCTGACATCTTAATGTTTCCTTTCATCATTCTCTATGCACTGAAAATTACTGTACCCTTAAGTCTAGTAGATACTCATTTTAAGACCCCAGTAAATCAGAGCTTATTTAAAGCCATTGGGTTACCATGTTTATATTTCGCTTCAGTTGTAATGTTTAGATTATCACAATGAAAGTGTCATTTTAATTTTTTTTAGGTCTAGGACTGTTTATTCTTTAAAATCCAATAAAGGTAGATAAATAAGCTGTTTGCTTATTTTTCTCTAAAATGGGTATAGCAGTTGGATTATTGTTGTTCTTTTGTTCTAATCCAAGAAGCACTTTGACTTTTTCCCTGCTTTATGTTGTTTTCTTTTTCCTACACAAGGATTCATTCCTAAATGATTTTCCATTTCTAATCTTAGCTGGCTTTATTTTTACCATTCACATTGCTGCCAAGTTATCTAAACACATATCTGATTATTTCCCTTAGTAGCAGGAACTGCTACTTAACACCAATAATCTCTTTAACCTGGTTTTGGGGATCTTTTACAAGTTTTTCTCAGAGTCAATTTTCTAATCTTATACTTTCTACTCACATTGAAATAGCTCTGAGTTATGTATAATGTTGTACTCTCTCTGTCTCTCTGTCTCCGTCTCTGTCTCTCTCAGTCATGTTATGACATTTCGGTCTCATCTTCTAAGATATCACTCTAATCTTCCCCTGACTTGTTTCTGTTAGGAAAAGAACCTTTTTTGTGTCATTAATAGCACTGTAGCACTGTTCTCCCATTCATCGATTTTCTTGAGTGGGCATCAGTAATGTCTCCATTGTGAGACTTTTTGTTACTGTTTTTGGCATATCGAATATGCCACTGAGAGCTTACCATGCTTTGCCATCATGCTTACCAGATACTCTCGGTACCTTGCGGGGCTCTCTGAGAGGAATGAAGGAATCAAACCCGGGTCATCTGTGTGCAAGACAAACACCCTACTGCCTGTGCTATCACTCTATGTGTCATTAATAATGAACATTAAAAATGGTACCTGTACATGTGTTGTCTACACATCTATAGTTTTAGTACTCAGAGAGGACCCTGGTCAGCGGCGGAATCAGGGTATGGCCCAGCTACCTGTGCCCTCCACTCTCAGCAGTTTTGTCACCTCCTGATGCAAGCTGCCACCCTCTTTCCCCAGGGCTACCACTCTCTCTGCTTAACAACATCTCAGAGTCTTTGCATGACTCTTTACAGTCTCTGTCTCAGGAGACAAAATACATGTTGGAAAACAAAATTTATTTTTTAAATTTTTTAATGAAACATTGTGAGATACAATTACAGACATACAAATTTTCGTGGTTACGGTTCAATCAAACAATGTTCGAGTGCCCATTCCTCCACCAGTGCCTATTCTCCACCATGAGTGTTCTGAGTATCCCTCCCACCCACCCCTTTCCCCTCCGCCTCCTATTTGTTCTTTCTTATTTTCCGCCACTGGTTGTGATGTCTTTCATGAGTTCTCCCGAGTTCGTTTCCTCAGTGGCTCACCCTCACCAAGGTCAGGCAGAGTCTTGCATGAAGCCACAGTTTTGGAGCTTATCTACCACTTACTGACTGTGACCTGGGCACACAGTTCCACAATTTTCTTCTCTGTTCTTTGGGAATAAAAAACATAAGCTTCTAATGTAGAATCTGTAGCATTTCGAATGCCATCCTGCATAGTTTACTGAATGTCAGTTTTGTTATTAGATTCCTCTTTCAGTTACCTTTTCAGTTTTTTTTTTAATAAAATGCCCTTTGTTCATAGTAGAATCATAGTGTGATTAATGGTTTGTGTAACTGTTGGTGTAATAACTTCCCCCACTATTGGAATACAAACTCAGTGAGGACAAGGTCTGTATTCGCTTGACCTTTGTAAACCCATTACCTTGCAGAGCCCAACTCTTAACAGATAACATTCCAGTAAACATGTTGGGTGGTGGGTGGGCTAGTGATAGTGAATGCAGTAATGGCAGATATTTTTTAAATTATCCTAAATTTGATAATAAATTATTGATAAAACATTATTCACAAACTTAGCCCTTCCAAATTTCCGTTCATTTATACAACAACAGGTTTCCACCTATGAATTTCCAAAAACTGTCTCATTTTCCACATCCTGCTTTATTTTGCTTCATAGTGAATGGGTATACCATTTTTTCACTCTGAAGATGACTCCTCATATTCGACGGGGTGGAAACATGTAGCATTTTTGAAGGAAGGAAATTTGGAAGGGCTTTCCTGAGGTGTTACTTCTCTCAGGGTGGCTGTGTACTGGTACTTATTTTGAGCTGAAAAATACATGTAAAGGAGTTGCCCGCCACGAGCAGCTCTCCGGCATGGCCATGGCACCAGAGGCACTCGGACCTAATCCAGAGCCTAGCAGCTTGCGCCAGAAATGTGAATGGTCTACTCATGAAACTACGGCACCATGCAACCCTAGGATGGAAAGGGTGTCTGTCTCTTCCACCTTTCACACCCCTCGCCCAGCAGCATGGTAGCCCTCGCCTCAGAGCTTATTGGAAAGCCAGGTGTGAGCCGGCAGTGACGGGGAAACTGCAGCCTCATGGAATGGGGGGTGGAACCGGCTCATCCTTCATGCCTTACCGAGGCCACAAATTGCCCCCCACGAGCAGCTCTCAGGCACGGCCATGGCACTGGAGGCACTTGGACCTAATCCAGAGTCTGGCAGCTTGAGGCAGAAATGTGAATGGACTGTGGGTTAAACTATGGCACCATGTTCCCCCCACCCCACCCCCTCGGGAAGGAAAAGGGTGTCTGTCTCTTCCACCTTTTCCCCCCATGGCAGCATGGTGGCTGCTGCCTCAGAGTTTATTGGAAAGCCAGGTATGAACTGGCGGTGAAAGGGCAACTGCAGCCTCATGGGATGGGGGGCAGAACCGGCTCATCCTTCACGCCCTACCGTGGCCACGAGTTGTCCCCCATGAGTGGCTCTCAGGCACGGCCATGGCACCAGGCGCACAGAAACCAATCTCGTAATTATCCAGCTCTTGGCAGAAATCCCTCCAGACTTGATTAGTAAAATATCAGAAATCCAAAATAGCGCTGCCGCAATAGCGGCCATGCGGCATCATATAGTTTTCATAACCAGTAAACCAGCAATAGAAAACAAATTATTTCACAATGCCTTTTCAGCAGTTCTGATTGTTGGGGGGTAATTCCAAACAATAATGGTGCATCTTTTGTCGAAATAATGAATGTAATCAAAGTAGAAAGAGAGTTAAGTAGATCATCTGCCTCACAGGCATCAGGAGGGGTGGGAGTGGGGGTATATTGGAGTTCCTGGTGGTGAAAAATAATTACTGGTGAAGGGAAGGGTGTCTGATCATTGTATGACCGAGACTTAAGCCTGAAAGCTTTATAACTGTTCTTACAGTGATTCAGTAAATAAATTTAACAAAGTAAATAAATAAAATAAACCAGGTTCTTTGATCATTTTGCAAAATGAAAAAAAAAATACATGTAAAGACTATTTTTTTCTCAGAAGATAAAGATCTTTATATATCCTTTTCATCTGTTTTCATTTTACAGTAAGTACTGTCCATCAGGTTGTCTGCTTCCCTTTGCCGAGATATCTGGAACAATTCCTCATGGATATAGAGATGTAAGTTGACTATAGACGTATATTAAGGTTACAGTATAAAGGTAAAAGGTAAAGGCCCTCCCGTTGATCGTCGATTTGCTCGAGCGGGCCCAGTAACGTCTCCATTGGAGACTTTGTTGTTACTGTGTCTGGCATATCGAATACTCTTGGTAGCTTCCCGGGCTCTCCGAGAGGGGCGGAGGAATCGAACTCGGGTCGGCCATGTTGGCCGCTTGTAAGGTGAACGCCTAGGTTACAGTATAATTTTTTTAAAACTACAGAATAGGTAAACTCTCTGTACTTTATTCCTAGAATATATATTCTTTTTAGTAACTTAATATTTTAAATTTTTCTTTCACTTAAAAAAGTCTGTCCTAAATTATGGCATCAATAACCTATCTCATTTTTCCTGAGAAAACCACCTAGATCAACAAATTCACAATAATTTCTGAGGACATACGTTTTGTTAGAAAATGGCCAAAATAAAATTTAAAACTTATTTTTTTGCTTTTTGTTTTGTTTGGGGAGCCAAACCCTTTGGTGCTCAGGACTTACCCCTGGCTCTGTGCTCACAGATCATTCCTAGTGGGGCTCAAAGAAGTAGAAGTGGGGCCAGCAAATGAACCTAGGTTGGCCACATGCAAGGCAAGTGCCCTACCTGCTTTCTTCATGATTCTTCTTCCTTTTTTTTTTCCTCTTCCTTAAGTCCTCTCCATTATGTATGGCCGGCGTGCATGCAGGAGTAGTGTCGAACGTTTTGGGTGGCCAGATCAGTGTTGTAATTAGTAAAGGTATCCCGTACTATGAAAGTTCACTGGCCAACAACGTCACATCTGTGGTGTAAGTATTTTTACTGTTTATGATAAATATGCTAAGTAAGTGTTGCTTGGGGACAAGCTACATATTTCTGGGGACCTACACAATCCTACGGTTAATGGCATATATGAAATAGTACTGGTGCACTGTAGTACTTTAGCACTGTCCTCTTGTTGTTCATTAATTTGCTCGAGTGGGCACCAGTAACGTCTCACAACAAATTGTGGGACTTGTTACTGTTTTTGGCATATCGAATATGTCACGGGTAGCTTGCCAGGCTTTGCCGTGCAGGCGGGATACTCTCGGTAGCTTGCTGGGCTCTCAGAGAGGAGTGGAGGAATCAAACTCGGATCAGCCATGTGCAAGGCAAAAGCTCTACCTACTTGTGCTATCACTCCAGCCCAGTACTGGTGCAATGATCACAAATTATTGCGTTTTTTGTACCAGGTACCTAGTGTCTGATTGTCTTGAAGAATATAAGCAGGCTTACTTTGGGGCTTGTTCTCAGCTCTTTTGAAGAGCGGTTTGTTTCATCATTTCTAGTTGTTGAAAAAATATAGAGTGAAATCCCAAGTCATTCAAAAGCCTTTACGTTATTTTCAAGATGGAAGGCATAGTTGTTCTTCCTTATAGCCTTTGTTATGACCCAGGTTGAATTAAGGACAATTGAAATGTTTTGAATATAAATTAAATTTTCATAAATCAGAGGTCGTATCATTTATCCACCTCTTTTCCCAAGAGGATATTTTAGGAATATATTTTCATAGTATCTGTTGTGTCTTCTGTTATACAGAATAATAGATTAAGCATCAAAATAAGGAAAGTTGAAACACATGTCTCTTTCTATAAACCTTGCATCTTACATGTTCAGTCATGTAGCAAGTACTGAGCCTAATGGAAGCTTCTCTGCAGAGATTTATGCAGAAGGAAAAAGCACATCCAGGAGTAAAGCAGGAATCAGCAGAGTTTGTTCTCTGAAGGATCAGCAAACTAATACTTCAGCTTTTATGGGCCTTGTTATTTTTTTGTTTTATTTACAACCTTATGTGAAAATATGTTTTTAGCTTAATGGGTCCTACAAAACAGGTGACTAAGCTATCATTTGTTCACTGGTATTGACTCAGCTGCCATTTTTTCTTTTGGCTTCTCCCAGATGATTTTATTCAAGTCCTGTTTTTCTTTTCCCCTGTCCACTTTTTGAAAAAACAAAGTATATAATACAATTTCTTTCTCTATTGTATTTGAAAAATGTCATAAAAAAGAAATAAGCAATATTAAAGATTATGTGGACATAATTGTACAATCATGAAACGAGGTAACTTTAGAGAAAGTTATTTATCTTATTTAAGGAATTGTAGTGCTTAGAAATGAGACTTAACTTCGATAGAAACAGTATAGCTATCTTACAGATAGCCATAGAATATTCTCATTTTTTTAATACAGTAAAATTAAAACAAAAGAAAAAGTTTACTAAGACAGATATTAGTCATGTTATATGACTGTCACAAAAATACTTTTCTCTCTTTCAGGGGACACTTATCTACAAGCCTTTTTACATTTAAGACAAGTGGTAAGCATCTTATGGTCTTCATAAATCATAGCAATTGTGGATAGCTAATAATTTCCAAGCACTATATGACAGACCCTGTGCCAGTTACTGTTTTTTTTTCACTTCCTCATTTAGTTGTGATAATAGCACCATGAGGTAAGGTAGGTGCTTTTACAGTAAATAAAACTGGAAGTCTTACTGATAATAAGGAGAGTTCCTTAGAAAAGGTGATACTTTAAATTATCTGAAGAATTAATTCTTTCTCAACAGAAAATACCTATTGAGTACCTTTGACTTGTCATCACTTACCTGATGCTGATGAAACAATAGTGTGCAGATGTTTTAAAAAAAATCATGCTTTCCTGGAGCTTATTTCTGATAAAGAGAATTTGATGAGAAATGATGAATAAATACATTATTATTTGCAACACAATGCTTATAATGTCATGACAGATTTTACTTTTCGAAAAATAAGGCAAGGGAAGAGAAGAGGCAAGTCAGCAATGACTGGTTTGGGGTCAAGGCCCAGAAACCTATCTGCCTATTTTAAAGATTTCTGCCTGTTTGGGAAATTACAGTGTAATCTTGTCCTCGAGTGTATGTTAATTAAAGGTACAAAAGAAAGTTCACAGTAAACAAGCTTGAGTGTATACCTGGAAAGCAAATTATTTGTTCTTTGTTTCAGGTTGTTACGGAACACTGGGAATGGAATCGGGTGTGATTGCGGATCCTCAGATAACAGCATCGTCTGTGCTGGAGTGGACTGACCACACGGGGCAAGAACACAGCTGGAAGCCGGAAAAGGCCAGGCTGAGGAAACTGGGACCTCCCTGGGCTGCTTTTGCCACTGATGAATATCAGTGGTTGCAAATAGATCTAAATAAGGAAAAGAAGATAACAGGTTAATAGAGTTTCTCACAATTTTTTAAACTGATTTTTTTTATTTTATGGAAATCTGACAGCATCAAAGATAATCATATAAAGTTAGGTCACTGCAAATGTAATTGCAAATTTTTAAGTATTTTTTTATTATTAATATTACTGAAGCTGGTTTGAGAAAATGAGGCACATAAAAGGAATTGGTATTTGATTCCTGCTAGCTTTTATTTTCCATTGTAATAAGATCGTTCAAGTTAGTGTTTCAGTAAAGTGTTTTGAAACATCTGAAATAACCATCTCTTGTAGTCATTAAGATAAATTTATGTTCACGAAACCCATTTAACTGTTTTAACTAATATTCCAGATGTGCTTGAGTTGAGAGCAACTCAGTAAATGGTCAAAATAATTGGTTAGGATTGGCTTAGATAATTGTGGCAAAAAATGACTTTCCTTTGGTGCAGCAAATAATACCAGTAATCATCTTTAGTCTGATCATTCCCAGAAATTCAATTTTCCTTGATAGCTGAAATTTACCTTACAGTGATACAAAAATAAACTGCCAAAATAGAATATTCTGTTTCCTCTACAATTTTCTCTACACTAGAATGAAACCAAGACTTAAGTTTATTTTACAATGAAACTTTGCATTTGAGTTTGGCAATGTGAATTTGCCAAAGAAAGGAATGTTTGAATAGAGTATTTTAGGTATTTATGCTTTGCTGCTGTACAAACATCAAGGATCAGACCATTTATCGTACAGTAATGACAGTAACTCTCCATTCTCCAGGCATTATAACCACTGGCTCTACGATGGTAGAACACAATTACTATGTGTCAGCCTATAGAATTCTGTACAGCGATGATGGACAGAGATGGACTGTGTATAGAGAGCCTGGTGTGGAGCAGGATAAGGTAAAAAGTAACATTATTACCAGTGTCTTAAACATTTGTCTAAAGTGAGTCTGCCAAGAGCCTCCTCAGCTTTCCTTTGGTCTTCCTCTGCCCTCTCCTGGTTATTTCAAGGTACTTCTAGTTACTTTTTGCTACAAGCAGGAAAGTCACTATGGTTCTAGGTTCCTTTTCATGACCCTAAGAGTACCTGATTTTCTTTCACTGCCTTTTCAATTGAGTCCTTTGGATTGCTAAGAATTTTTTTTTTATAGTAGCTATGATTCCTTTTCTCCAGAAAGAGTTTCTTATCAAGAAAGAAAGCCCAATTTGTTCCCAGAGTCAACTCTGTAGCCAGGGAGTTTGTGAGCTATTGGCTCAAAATCTGCCACAGGGATCTTGTGAGTGGGAAAGTGCTGTCCCCAAGGAAAATGTTTGCCTCTCATTGAGCATTTCGATCATGAGCACTTTTTTTTCAGTGAAACTCCCCGAGTTTTGTTTTAGCTACGTAAGTTCTCTGTATGTGACTTGCTAATATATCTTCAATTACTACTTTTGTCATCTCTCTGTCAAAAATCTATAGGGACTCCTTATTATCTTTCATGTGGATCTAAACTCTTCTGCTGTAATTCAAGACCTTCTTTCTTCTTGATATCACATGAACTTCATCTTTGGTGAGCCTCTACCCATTGAAACAAATACCCATACTGTCTCCATACCTGCCTAATTTCTGCTTATGCCCCCAAATTTGACTGCTCTTTGCTCATAACACATCCATATTTATTTGTATAAGTTTATTATGGTTGTGAAATATAGTTAATTTTTTGAAACTATCAAAGCAATAGCCCCACTTACTATGCAAATACATTTAAGAACAGTGAATTATATTCCTGAAAAATACCTTATTTTTGTTTCATTTTCTGTAAGGTCATTTATTGGTAATAGAATTCTGGCAGGACCGTCTTTCATTACTTTTAATATGCTGTTGTATTATTTTCTAGTTTACATCGTATTCAGCAAAATTCTGTTTGTTTCTCAATGTATAATATATCTTTTTCTTGGCTGCTTTTAAGGTGTCTTTTAATACACTTATTTTGTGTAATTTGATATGCCTTTGTATAGTTGCCTTCATGTGCCTTCTGCTTAGACTTTGTGCTTCTAGGATCTGTGTGTTACGATTTAATCATTTGAAAATGGTAGATCATTTATCAAATCAATCACCTGATCAGTTCTAATTATATAAATATCATGACTTGAAGAGATTAGAAGATATCGTACAGTTCAGTGATATTCTGTTGATTTGCTCTTTCTTTCTTCTTTTGTGGGGAGTGGAGTTTGGGGTTACACCTAGTGGCTCACAGGGTTTACTCCTGGCTCTGCACTCAGGTATTACCCCTGGTGGCACTCAGGGGACCTTATGGGATGCTGGGGATTGAACCAACCAGCTACTTGCAAGGCAAATGCCCAACTACTGTACTATCTCTCAAGGCCCTGATCTTATTTTCTTCTCATAGTTTAGAGAGTATTTCTTTATTTGTGTTCAAGCTCACCAGTCTGTTTTTCTGCAGTGTATAATCTTGGTTAATTTTTATATTTTTTTATAGCTGATGTTGCTTTTTTTTTTTTTTAACCTCAACTTGGGCTTTTACATTTTCTGTTAAAGCTTTCTTTAACCTGTTTATGCTTTTTTCTACTTCTAAAACATGTAGTGTGTATAATGCTTCTTTTGATTCCTTCCCTTTTGTGTTAATTCTGTCATGTTTCATGAATCTTTCAATAATGCTCGATATTAAGGGTCATGTTTCACATACCTAGTAATATCTAGTTGGATATTAGACATTGTGAACTGTACATTTGAAAAAAAATTCCTGTGTTTTAAAGCTTTATTCTGGGTGCAGTTAGGTAACTTAATAGTTATTTAATTTTTACAGGACTTGCTTTTTAGTTTTGTGCAGGACAGCCTGATTTCCTTCAGTTCAGAAATTAGGTCTAATTTTCTTCCTGAACAAGATCTTGTTCTAAGTACTTAACTGTGTATTTAGAGTTTCATTATAAGTTTTATGTATTGTATTATCATTTTTCTCCATTTGTTTCTTGGCAATAAGAACTGTATCTAACTCTGTGCAGCTCTAAGAATTGTTCAACTAGCTCCATTTTTGCAGTTTTTTTCTTGCCGATAGTTTCTTTCCATTCAAGCTAGATTTTTAATGGTAAACTCACACCAGAGACTTGAAACAACCCCCCCCCACACACACACTACACACACACACACACACACACACACATTCTAAGTATTTCTCTCTCTTTCACCCACCCTGAAAATTCTAATTGCCTTGCCTTGTCACCTCTAAGTTCTTTTCTTCTCAATTCAGTGAGACTACCAGGTTTTTTCCTGGCAATATTGGGGCAGTAGGGCTCAAGTAATTTTATTTCTTTCTCTCAGAGATGATTTTACTGTGTTGCTAATTGTCCAGTTTCTGAAATTATTGTATCCGTTTACTGTTTTTCACGTGGTTAATACACAGGGGTTAATTCAGTCCATGTTAACTCTTATGCACAGAGATTTATGGGGTAGGATTGCAAGGAGAGGTTTTATGTCTGAAATGTCTAGCTAGCTATTGTTTCTGTTCCACTGATAGACTGCAAATAATTGCCTTCATTTTATTTCAGAGTACTATATAAAGAATAATAGAAGCTTGTTTGTTTGGGAATGACTGTAACTTTGAAGTAAACTTTTTAGAAAATGAGTTTTGAGAAGTTTAGTGCCACAAAAATCTTCTGCTGGGGTAAAAAATAACCACAGTGTTTGGAAATGACTTGATTGGGGGGTTAAACATTTACTTACTCTCACCTTAGCAGATTAAAAACAACCTTTTTTTAAATTTTAGGCTGGTGTTCACTTATTAAGAGTCTTTAGTAAATATCCAGGTAATTCGATCTAAAATAACAAGGGATTCTGTTTTGCTTACGAGAACCTGGTGTGTTTTTTTTGGGGGGGGTCACACCCAGCAATGCTCAGGGTTTACTCCTGGCTTTGCACTCAGGAATTACTCCTGGCGGTGCTTGGGGGACCATATGGGATGCTGGAGATTGAACCCAGGTTGGCCACATGCAAGGCAAACGCCCTACCTGCTGTACTATCACTCCGGCCCAAACCTGGTGTTTAATGTCACACTTTTCAAATCACAGCTCTATCATTGTCTGGCTGTGTAGTCTACTTAGATTCTTAAATTCTTAAGTTAGAGTTTTCTGGATTCTGCCTTTAGTGTAGGGTTACTATAAAGAGTGTCTCACCTATTTATATAAAAGACCTTGTAAGTAACTGTCAGTTGCTTGAAATAGTTGAGGACAGAGAGCCACGTGATATCATGTTGTAACCTAAGGGTCATTTTTTTTGTTATTTAGTATTTTGTATTTTTTTGTTATTTAGTAATGATCAGTAAATTATATGGGAGTCCGTGTTTCAAAGTCACTTTCCTGGTTCAAGTAAGAACCAAGGAATGAAACATAGTATAGAGCTATCTTTTCTTAGTTTACCCAGTAGGTGGAGGTATATATCTGTAATGTGTTTAGTAAAATAAGTTCATTTTCAGCCTTAGTGAGAGAAAACAATTATAAAAAATACGCAAAGCATTTTCTTATCGTATGTTAAATTATGCTTCACCTTGAAAATAAAACAAATATACTTAAATCGTTGGTAATCGCCTTAGACTAGAGTTACTGATTTATTAATACAATGTAGTGTCTTACAATAAGTGAAGCCATTGTTCCAGATTTCTAAGTTACAGCATCCTTGTTACTATTAAAACATAGTAGAATAAATTTTGTAATGACATTTTATAAATTTTTGATAAAGGGTAGATAGCTTCTTAATGTTTTTTCACGTTTATGCTTAATTTGTTTTCTTAGGAATTAAATCATATTGTCCTACTTTGCAGATCTCATTTAAGGCCCAGAGCAAAAAACAAAAGCATGTTTCAGTGGAGCAATTTAGTCCTGACCTCTCTTGATGTAAAGTACCAATTTTTTGTTGTTTTTTAAAGATATTTCAAGGAAACAAAGATTATCACCAGGATGTGCGTAATAACTTTTTGCCACCAATTGTTGCACGTTTTATTAGAGTGAATCCTACCCAATGGCAACAGAAAATTGCCATGAAAATAGAACTGCTTGGATGTCAGTTTATACCCAAAGGTAAAGCAATAGTATGTTTAATAAGACATTTTATTTTCGCTGAATTTATTAAATGTGGCTTTGCTGTCCTCAGAGAATGTAATTGATAATAATATGAGTATTTAAATAATAATTAGAATACTTTCTTAAAGGGATTTTAAAGAAATAATTCGTATTTCAAAAAGTTAGCTACTAAAATTGCTTCCAAAATTACAAATGGAAGAAATGATAATGTTATTGATGAGCTAATATAATACGATTGATTTTCAAATGTAGGCTCTGCCTTAGTAATCTTTTTTCATCAGGTCTCATTTCCAGATTAGTAATTTTTAATCAGATTTCATGTCATATAATATTTGTATCATAAAAGCACTAATGATTATAGCAGTAACCTTCATCTGAGTACCTTTTACTTTGAGTTAGAGAGGGAATTGTATCCTTTGTTATTACATATTTATTGTTGTTTACTTTCATATTTCTCACATGTAGCAGTGCTGTGGTATCTGGTGTATGATGACCACTCCTAAATATTAAGTGAACATGGGTGCAATATAAAATTGTAATAACTTTGAAGCTTTAGACCTCAAACTTCTTCTCTATTATGTTCCACCCGAAAAGAGATTCTTGGGGAGGAGGGAAGGTATTTGTGGTTTTTTTATTTTTGGTTTTTTTTTTTTTGCACCACACCCAGCAGTGTTCAGGGCTAATTCCTGAATCTGCACTCAGAGATCAACCGGGCAGTGCTTGGGGACCACAGGGGATGCTGGTGATTGAACATGAGTTGGCTGTGTACAAGGCAAGCACCTTGCCCTCTGTACTCAGGCCCCTAGAAAAGATTATTTGCAGATCATTTATTTTTTAAACCGAGACACACACACACACACACATATTCAGTGACTACTCCCATCTTTTAATTTATTTTTATTATTGTTTCCCCCCTTTCTGCCCTTTGTTACTGTTATTTCTATCACCAGGGTTCACATACAGACCAAGTCTTGTTTTCACATCTGGTGCTCCCCAGGGGTGGGGGGGGTGGGGCAGGAGATACACTTTGTTGAAGTACTTGAACCTGGGTACAGTGGAAGCTGTACTCCTTTAGCAGTGATCTCACTCGTTCTGGTCATAGTGCTTGCTGGGGGTTGCTTTGCTGCTCACATTAAGTGCTTGTTGGTGGTCACACTCCACACGCTTTGAAGTGTAGCGCTTACCAAGGCCCACTTTAAGCCCAGTGCTCTCACACTTGGCTGTGTACTGCAGATCTCACGATGCTGAGAGTTCCAGAGAGCAGAGCTGCTGGGGTCACTCAGGACCTTGAGAATGGACAGCAGGCACTTCTGCCAGTCACCCATCCCTGGAGGGTGGGGGTGTCCTGTGGCTGTACATTAATGCAAAGTATTTTCTGTCTTGGCCTGGAGCAGTATCACAGCCTATAGAACTTTTGCCATGCACGCGGCTGACCCGGGTTTGATTCCTCCGCCCCTCTCTGAGAGCCCGGCAAGCTACCGAGAGTATCTCACCCGCACAGCACAGCCTGGCAAGCTACCTGTGATGTATCCGATATGCCAAACACAGTAACAACAAAGTCTCACAATGGAGACGTTACTGGGCCCGCTCGAGAAAATTGATGAACAACGGGAGGACAGTGCTACAGTGCTATTTTCTATCCTACGGCTGAAATTTAAAATTTCTGTGTAGAATTTTTGGATTCTCTGCAAAGTGGTGAAGATACTTGAAATGAGTATTTTACTATGATTGTTATAAGCAAAATGTGTAAGCTTTGTAATCTATTTTTAAAGGTCGTCCTCCAAAACTTACTCAACCCCCACCTCCTCGGAACAGCAATGACCTCAGAAACACGACAGCCCCTCCCCAAATAGCCAAAGGTATGTCACCTTCAGTGTGAGAGTTTGATATTTTTCTAGATTTGTAATATAAAATTCCATAGACTGAAAAGCATTAGAACTTAACTTTTAATCAACTTGGTATCAATAAAAGAATAACGGATTTAAAAAAATATTTTTTTCTAGGTCGTGCCCCAAAATTGACTCAACCACTACAACCTCGCAGTAGAAATGATTTTCCTGCACACAAGGAACAAACAACTGCAGCTCCTGATATTAAAAACACGACAGTGACTCCAAATGTAACCAAAGGTAAGCGAGTCCATTAACACCTGTTATGGTTTTTACTTAGGCTTTCAAGTTTCTGGCTCTTAAAAACCCCCTCTCTATAGATTTATGCAAGTATAGGGAAAATTGTGTAAAGTTGCGTTTAAATATTTGGAGGTGGGGGGAGGGAAACTGGAGACATTGGTGGTGGGAAATGTCCACGGGTGAGGGATGGGTGTTGGAACATAAATACTTGAAAATACTTGGCTTTATTCCAGAGCACTTTTTGTAGTTTTTTTTTTTAACTTTACAGCTGAATAAATACGTATAGTCTCAGGCTTGAAATAGATTTTGTAGAAGTAACTGAAACCATAGTAAACTGTTTTCTTGGTTGTATATTCATTTATTTGATAGAGAACTTGATAGGAAGAAGGGCCAAATTGAAGATGGATACAAAGAAGGAAATCGGGATGAACTGGGAGGTGTGGAGAGAAAGGTGGGAAGCTGGGAGGCGCAGGGGCAAAGGGCCTTGGGAACATGAAGATTGTGGTGGAGCTTTTATAGCCTAATTTCCAAACCAGAGTCAACAGCACTGAAATCATGAGACCCAAACTTTTAACACGCTTCATAGGGTACCTGTCAAGATGCATTCTGGGGGGCAGGGGGATGAGGGGGTGAGGAGGGAAGTTGACACTGCTGGTGAGGTGAGTGCTAGAATACTGTATATGCAAAACTCAGTTATGAATAACTATAATTCGTGGTGCTTTAATAAAATTAAAACAGTAATACCCTCAAGGTATCTTAGTTATAAAAATGTTGGTCTCTTTTTACCTCAGACATTTATGATGTTTCAGTTTGTTATTAGAATTTATTCCCATTTTTATGTTAATGTGTGAAATACAGCAATTACTGGATTCTATTAATTGTTGAAAAACAAAAGTAGTGTTGAACCTCTGAGGGGAAGTATAGTTGAAAAACAAAATTAGTGTTGAATCTCAGAAAAAAAAAGCATCTGTCAAAAGTAAGTTGCAGCATTTGTGGCTGCTAATAGAAGCATACTCATTTTGTGGAAAAACAGTTAACATGTGCCACATAAGGGGGGGAAAAGGCTGGGGACACACCCAGCTTTCATCAAGGCTTTAGCCCCCAGCTTTGCACTCAGTACTCCCTCCTGGTAGACCTGGGTTGGCTGCGTACAAGGCGAGCGCCCTCTCCACTGTACTACCACTACCCCCACCCCAGAATTTTAATTACCCACATTTTCTGAAAATGTGCCTTGATTCTCTGACTTCCCAAGTATCCATTTCTTCCTGTCTCTGATGGTTTTCCCAGTCAGACTCTTTCTCGTGCTGCTGGAAGCAAGCTAGAGACAAGGAATGGCTGTTACAGACGAGATCTCAAAGCTTCTTACCAGTTACCTGAAGCTTTCTATTTGAGTAAAATCCAAGACCAGGCGTCTGAATAGAACCGTCATTTAAAAGTATTACTCATTTAAAATTTGATGTATAGATAGAATCCTCAAGTTTCAAGACTACAAGTACCCTTAGAGTATTCCACAGCTTGGAGCCCTGCACATTTAAAGAAATAATAAAGAATGTGCAGGTCTTTTCAACTGAAGCCTTCTGGTTTCTTCTTGGGAATCGTGGTATAAACACTTGTAATTAAAATTTGAACCTGTGCAATTATTTTCAATCTTCTGATTAAATTTAACGTATCCTTCTCAACCTAATTGTTCTCTGCCCTGTTTTACAAATTTTAGGACATAGGTGCATTCACCTTTCTGGGTTCTTAAAGGTTTGTAACTGGAGTTGTGATTTCTATTTAAGGTGCTTCTTTCTCCAGTTTTACATGAGGCTGAGATTAATCATGGAGAAAAATACGTCATGATCATTTGTACCACTCTAATTCCAGACCTTACCTCAGTGGGGCTGTTTCCCTACTTAGTTATTATATCTGTTCCTACTACTATCTAGCACTTAATACTGATGTATTCCATATTTTTCAAACTCTTGATACAGAGATCTTCACTCACTTGGTTACTCATTAGATTCCCAAAGAAGGTGGAAGTCAGGAGAAGCAAACTTCCTTTGTGGAACCTATAAAATCACCTGTACCCTCTGTTCACTGAGTTGGGGGAGGGGAGCATGTGGTTTCCTAGGATATCTTCCTGTGTTGTCAGCCCTGTTCTCTATGTTGGTTTTATGGAGGAAATCAATTGTCCAGGCCAGTCCCTTTGCAGCATCCTTCAGATTTCAGCTCGTGCTGTTTTGTCATCCTTATAGGCAAGAGGATGTTCAGAGATGGAGTAAGAAATGTCTCAAATGACCTTAGGACACTTTTTATACCTGTGCCCTGGTTTCCTTTTCAGAGAAGTGAAATAAGGGAATACTAAATGATCTGGATAGCACAGTGGTAGGACATTTGCCTTGCATGCGGCCAACCCGACCGACCTGGGTTCAATTCCTCCACCCCTCTCAGAGAACCCAGCAAGCTACTGAGAGTATCTTGCCTGCACGGCAAAGCCTGGCAAGCTCCCTGCGACGTATTCGATATGCCAAACACAGTAACAGCAAGTCTCACAATGGAGACGTTGCTGGGCCCACTCGAGCAAATCGATGAACAACTGGAGGACAGTGAGAGTGACAGTAAATGATCTTATGTCTTTACAGTCTGCAGCATTGCGCTGTATTCTGGTCTGTTCGCATATACCTTTACACTAAGTTACCTTCCTATAACTCTGATTACTTTGCTATGATGGTCCAATATTATTTTTCGTGATTAGACAATATGCTGTAAGGAAGATGTCATTATTTAATAATTCCTTTTCATTATTGGACATTTTGATTATTTCTAGTTTGTCACTCTCAGCTAGATTTAGAGCAACATCTTTAAGGATACGTATTTGTTTGAAAGTCTTCTTAATTTTTTTCCTAAAAAAAATTCACAGATTTCCATAAAGTAAGTTTTTATATATATAGTCTCAAAATACCAATTACAAAGATTCTATCAATTTGTATTCCAAGAAAATCTGTTTCCTGTTATATTCTTCATAAACTGACTTTCATTTTAAATATTTTCCTTTCTGAAAAGCCAGAAGTAGTATCCTATTCTTGTTTTAATTTCTATTTTTCAGGTTACTAGTGAGACTAATGTGCTTGACATGTGTGTATTCTAATATACTGCACTATTTAAAAAATTTAATACAGTAAATGTGTATTTGACATATTAAAGTATGGTTTTTAATATTAAAAAATTTGTCCTGATTTTTCTGTTCTTTACTTACAAATCCTGATAACATTAATTACACTAAACCTCTATCTTGGGGGCTGGAGTGATAGCACAGCAGGTAGGACATTTGCCTTGCACGCAGCTGACTTGGGTTCGATTCCCAGTATCCCATATGGTCCCCTGAGCACCGCCAGGAGTCATTCCTGAGGGCAGAGCCAGGAGTAATGCCTGTGCATTGCCAGGTGTGACCCAAAAAGCAAAAATACAAAACAAATAAACCTCCATCTATGCAGAAAATAAAATTTCCTAGTTTATCATTTGTCTTGGTGATTTAAAAGTTATCATGAAAAATTGCAAGCAGATGGAGCAAATAATACGGTCTTCCATATACTTGTGAAGGCTTCTGCAGTCATCTGCTCGTGCCACTGTCATTTCATACATGCTGTAAGTAGTAATTCTTTGAGCTAGAAAGACCTTGAATGATGCTGATAGCTTCGTGGTTTTGAATTTCAGATGTAGCCCTGGCAGCAGTCCTTGTTCCTGTGCTAGTCATGGTCCTCACCACTCTCATCCTTGTGTTAGTATGTGCTTGGCATTGGAGAAACAGGTTAGTATGCCAAACCCAGTCGCCTCATTGGTCCCGCAGGGAGATTTTCATGTGTGAACTGGAAACCAAATATAGAAGATGCATTGTAATATACCACTGTTGTTTATTATCATTGAATAACTGTGAGTTACAAAGTTACAAAGATATTCATTATCAAGTTTAAGGTGTACAATGTTCCAGCATCAATCCCTTCACCGGTGACAACTGCCCTCCACCAATGTCCCCATCTTCCTCCCACGTCCAGCCTGACTCTGTGGCAGGTACTTGTCCCCTCCACCATTGTCTTAGAGTTCCCGTGCCTAACGTAGTCACCTCTGACTTCTGCCTTCTTGGCAGTCTTCCAACTGGAAACCGTTTCTCCTGCTATTTGTTTCTCTTGCCTCTGGGCATATGATATTCCCCTGTGAAGTTTCTTTATAGCCCACATATTAGAAAGATCATTGAGTTTTTTTTCCTCTCCCTCTGACTAGCTTCATTCGACATTATACTTCCAGATCTGTCCACGTAGCATCAAATTGTATTCCTCTTTTCTTACGGCTGAGTAGTATTCCATTAAATACACATTTTTTGAAAGGGAGAATTTGCTTGCCTTGCATGCAGCCATCCTGGGTTCAATCCCAAGCACCCTCTATGGTCCCTCAAGCCTCACTAGGAGTGATTCCTTAGCACATAGCCATAGGTGAGCCCTGAGTACCTCTGGGTATGACCCCCCCCCAAAAAAAAAATAATAAAAGATAACCATTATAGTATCTCTATGTCTGGCAAACTCCCCGTGGTATACCCAATATGCCAAATACCAGTAACAATGATGGGTCTCATTCTCCTAACCCTGAAAGAGCCTTGAATATGGCATTTAAAAAAAAAATCTCAGGGCTAGGACGAAGGAGACGTTACTGGGGCCTGCTCGAGGCAGTCGACGAACAACAGGATGGTCGTGATCGTGATCGTGATGTTTGCATTTCTTCTTTATTCTTCTTTATTCTCAAAAAAAAAAATGAATGTTACTGCCATCAGTTGCTGAATATCTTTCTTGTTTTAAATGTGGGATGCCTTTCTTGTCTCAAATTTTATGGTACAACTTTTTATTTCAGCCTAAGGGGCTTGGCAGTCCACGCAGGAATGCCAAAATAAATTTTCTCTGTTATATACTAAGGTACACATGTTAGTGTTTGATATATCAACACTTAGTAATATTTACTGAATGAATCATACATAATTCTTCTCAAAATGACACAAAATGAATTTCTGTATGTTTTGAGTTATTGATATAATGTTGAAGAAGACAGACGCAAGAACCATGGGAATTATCTAAAATATTCCTTTGGGGAAACAGTAATCCTCCAATTTGACTTGTTTTGTTTTGTTTTTGTTTTGGGGCTACACCTGGCGATGTTCAGGAGTTACTCCTGGCTCTGTGCTTACTCCTGATGGGCTCAGGGGACCAAATGGGAATGCCAGGGATGGAACCTGGGTTAATCTTATGCAAGGCAAGCATTCCACCTGCTGTACCATTTTTCTGACTTCAAATTTGCTCACCCCCCCTTTTTTTTTAATCCCTTCCTTAAAAGGGTTATTTAGCAAGACAAAAGCAGGTAGAAAATGGCGCAGAATTTTGTGAGCTAGAACACAGGGATATGGAATATTGGCAGAATAAGGAGGAATCTGACAGGACAGGGCATGGAAGAAATGGGACAAGGGCTTCTGGGGGAGAGACAGATTTTATTCATTGAAGAGTGTGAAGCAGGGAGGTGGTTCATTCTGGAAGATAGTGGGAGTAGGGATTGGAGCAGGTAAGGTATTTGCCTTGCATGCGACTGACCCGAGTTTGATCCCTGGCATCCCATATGGTCCCCCGAGCACCGCAAGGAATAATTCCTGAGTGCAGAGTCAGGAGTAGCCCTTGAGCATTGCCGGTGTAACTCAGAAAGCAGTTAAGAAAAAAGGTAGTGGGAGTTTTGCACAGGGAATTAAAGAGTAGAAAGACTAGATGCACCCGGATAAACTGAAGCCAGGGATTATGGGACAGAAGAAAAGGCACAGAGGAGTGGCTTCCTCGGGATGTATGACTGGCTGTTTGCTCAGGAAAAAGGAGGAGTTCGGTATGAAGGAAGTTTCCTGCTTACGCAGTTAAAACAGGACAGGTGTTTGGAGTTGAACAGATTTGCTGGAGACAGAGAATGGCTTCACTTGTTTATGAACCTTCTAACTAACATTTGAACTCCTACGCTGTACTGTTTGGAGTCGGGTGTTAGAAGTACAGTGGTAAACTCCCACATCTTAGGGAAGAGGGTATAGAGCAGAAGACTGCCATGGTTCTGACTTCACCACCTGAGCCTTAGGAGGAAGCTGGAGGATCCCTTGGATCCCAGATTCAGGTTGTTAAGGCTGAGAGAGACCAGATAAGTTAGAATCTGGATAGTAAGAGAAAGGAGCAGGGGCGAGGGGTGGCAGAGTTAGGAAAGTTCAGGAAGGAACATTCATGAGGCTTTGAGCAATCAGAATTCTTAACAGTAAGACAGCAGCAACAACTACTTTTGTTTTCCGTTTTAGTCCTGATGGTTTCCAGTACTGTTAATGAAAGGGCTTTATGCCTCCCGCATTCCAACACCACAACCTCCAGCATTGTTTCTGGGTCTCCCACTTCAGACTCTTTGATCATTTATTCTTCCCTTCATATGTTTATTTATACCCCATATAGGAGAGAGATCATCCTGTGTCTATCCCTCTCCGGGCTGACTTCACTTTGCGTGATACTCTCCAGAACCACCATTATAACTTATTCAGTTCGTTTTTGTAGAAAAACTGAATCTAGACATTCTAAATGCTTGGACATGTTTTAACTTACTTAATCTTCAGAACTATCCACCAAGCTCAGATTGAAGTAAATCCTGCTTAACAAAAGAGGGGTCATTAATAACTTGGCCAAAGTCTCCTGCCAGCACATCAGAGTGGAGTTTTGGCCCAGGCTTCAGAGTACGTGCTCTCACTGAGTGCTGTATCTGATCGCCGGGTCAGTCAGACATCCCAGGCTGACCGCAGTGGTCAGACCCCAGGGGCAGAGGGTGAGGGCGGAGAAGTAGAATTGTTGCGGGGGAGGCAGGGCTGAGACCCGCTTGAGTGGGACTTCAAGGTCCCATTGGACAGCCTGGCTTCCGGGAGGCCATGCCTATTCAGGACACCAGGTCCAGACCACAGGTTGAAATTACTACTGAGATCAGCTCTAAGTGCCCCCTGAGCTTTGTGACAAGGAGTCAAGGAAGCGATGCTATTAAGAGGGTGTGTAAAAATAGCAGGAAAGAGGAGAATAATAAAAAGCAGCTGCAGCTACTAAATCCTTAACTCATGCATTGTCCTAAACGCTTTACACACAAATAATAACCTGAAGCTTTGTCACTTGAGAGTAAGTACATAAAATCCTTAAGATAATATAACCCTTGACTAAAACAGCTCTGAAGTTGTTATCCTAGCCACTCAGGGTATCTAATTTCCGTATGGAAAAGATGAGTGCTTTCCTGTTATTTCTAAGCCTGCTGTACTCTGACTAGAGACTTTTCTCCTTGAACGCGCTGAATAATAAACTGGCATTGTATTACTATATATTTTTTTTCATTCTAGTTTTTGGTGAACAACTGCAACACTGTTAATTTTTGTTTCCATTTTTATTTTTATTATTGTAGTTTGGGGCTGGAGTGATAGCACATCGGGTAGGGTGTTCACCTTACAAGCGGCCAACATGGCCAACCCGAGTTCGATTCCTCTGCCCCTCACGGAAAGCCCAGCAAGCTACCGAGAGTATCTCGCCCTCTCGGTAAAGCCTGGCAAGCTCCCCATGGTGTATTCAGTATGCCAAACACAGTAACTATTGTCACAATGGAGACATTACTGGGCCCACTCTAGTAAATTGATGAACAACAGGAGGACAGTGACAGTGTCAGTGATTGTAGTTTGAGCTAACCCCCAGCTCCTATATATATATACATATATATATATATATATATATATATATATATATATATGCTGGAGCGATAGCACAGCGGGTTTGGGCATTTGCCTTGCACGAGGCCAACCTCAGACTTGATTCCTCCCACCCGCACGGCAAAGCCTGGCAAGCTCCTCATGATGTATTTGATATGCCAAAAACAGTAACAACAAATCTCACAATGGAGACGTTACTGCTGCCTGCTCAAGCAAATCAATGAACAGTGGGAGGACAGTGCCACAGTGCTATTGTAGTTTAGCTAACTTGTTTACAGTAGTTCTCTTGTTTATGGTTTTGATGTGTAGTTACTGCATCTCACCACCACAGAAGTGCCTCAAAAAATGTCTTTATGGTACTTCTAATTTTTTCTTGTTTCCCTCCCCACCTGTTTTACCCTTGACTTGGTAATCTTCAGTTTTTTAATCCAAAGCCAAAGATTTGTCATCATTTGATACTGTCTGCTCCCATTTTTCTCCATACTACAGATGAACACTCATCTTATTCACAAATTTTGCACCATACTTTTCTTTTAAAATAATTAAACATTAATATTTAAAATTTGACTACGAGGGCTAGAATAATAATAACTCTGCAGGCCAAGTACATACTTTACATTCAGGAATTTAGGTTTGATTCCCTGGTACCACATGGTCCCCCTAGCAAAGCCAGAAATAGCCCCCATACTGCTGGACATGCCCCCAAACCTAAATAAATAAATGCAAGTCGGCTTTATGGTTTTTTGGTGGTGGTGGTGGTGGTGGTGGTGGTGATAGTGGTGGTGATAGTGGGGAGGTAGGGGGTGTGGTTCCCTTCAGCATTGTTCAAGATGCTCTGGCAGTATTTGGCCAATACACCTGCGGCTTAGTGCTAGGCCCTGATTATGCTTTGTGGTACCGAGGACCACCAGAGCTATCCCCTGGTGCTGAGTGCAGGCCTGTGTGCTGGGGATTAGAATCCAGCTTTGCATGAGCCCCTGACTGCTGCAGTATCGCCCCAGCCACACAGCCAGCCTTTAAAATGAGCAGCCCTCCCTGGGGTGACACGTGGGTTGACTGGGAATACCCTCGCACTGTGAGTCTAAGCAGCACCATAAAACCTTAGGCCTTGGCATTGAATTGTTGACCTAGTTGGCCAGAATTAACCAGGAGGAATCGCCCCTGGTGGTCCCACAAGCAACATTTGGGCCACCCCCCCTCCAAATAAAAATGAAAGGAGTAACTTTTAGTATCAGTAATAAAAACACAGCTTGGGACCAGAGAGGTAGTACAGCTAGGAGTATGCTTACCTTGAATTCTAACTGATCCAGATTCACTTCCTGGAAACCTATATGGTTCCTCCACAGCCCTCCAGGAGAGACCTCTGAGGGCAAAGGCAGAAGTAAGCCCCGAACATCATTTGGGTTGATCCGCATCACCACCCACACCAAAAATAAATAAATAAAAGAATAACTTTAGGGTAGAGAAAAATGTCTGTAGCTAGGCAAAGCATATGCTTGGGACCTTTGAAAAGCACACATGTAAATACAACCATCTTATTACACTGGAATTTCTGCTTTCTGTTGAGCTTCAGAACATTTCACTTTAATTAGATTCCCCTCAGAAAGTGTCCTTTTGTTTGCTAGGTTTTATTTTACATTTTTGGTAAATGCTACTTTGGTAAACATTAGTTATTAACCGGAGGGAGGCGCGTGCCTCCTTGGGGAGGGCATACCAGAATTCTGAGAAGTGGGTTGGGATGAATGTCTGTCACTCTACACCTGTCTCTTGCCTCCCACACCTAGAAAATCTTGTTATCTCTGCTGTTTGTCATTGTTAGTGATACTCATAGCTTATCCTGGAGGGATTAAGTCTCCTTTCTTTGAGGCAAAGAACCAGAGAAAAAGTAGTAAGTTAGCAAAAAAGAACAGTGCAGTGCAAAAGAAAATTCAGTTCTTGTTCTATGAACTCTGTGAATTAATTTTGTTTTATGAATTAATTAATTTAAAGAACTAAAGAACTAATTTTGTTTTATGAATTAATTTAAAGAACTAAACCTTAAAAGTCCCCCCACCCCACCCCAAGAAGGCTGTTGTAACTAATTAATGAATTCAGCAAAGTAATGAATTAATTTTGTTCTATGAACTCTGTGAATTAATTTGAAACTCAAACAGATCCAACACCAAACCTGATTTCATTTTAACAACTCATGCCAGTCTCCTTAACAACCCAAATCAGAGACCCTAATTTGATCCCCCATACTGCATGGTCCTGAGTCTGCACTGGGAGTAACCAAAACCCAAAAACAAACCCCACATGTCAGGGCTTGATTACATTAGGTCTTTATCTGTGGGTTGTCTTTTTAAAAAAAAAATCCTTTATCCTTTCTGTGTAGAAAACAGTTGGATAGTAAAATAGCTATTTAAGAAGATGATTTTTTATTTATTGAGAGTTTATAAGCTTCCAGCAGTGGTGACTTTCAAAGTCAAATGAAGTAGTTTTCACCAAGTAGATCAGAAAGTGGAATTGTGTACTCCTGACTAATTATTAACTTTACTATTTATCTTGCACTTTCAGAGCTGTCTTACTGGTAAATTCACTTTATTGGCTAACTTTTTTCCCCCCTCCCTGTATTTTTCCAGAAAGAAAAAAACCGAAGGCACCTATGATTTACCTTATTGGGACCGAGCAGGTATTCCTGACTGCATCTCTTTCCTTCCTCCCCTGCAGGTGACAGAGAGGAAGAGGAAAGCCCTCTTCAATACCGTTAGAAAAATGCTATCCCTCTTTGTTCTGTTTTCACTCTTCTGCAAAGTCCTTTCTAGTCAATTAGTAATGAAATGGATGAGCAGAATTTATAACACACACAGACACAGACACACACACACACACACACACACACGCATATATGGAGCTCCTTTTCTTCTAGAAAACTTGTCAGATTTGTTCCATCTATCTTCTTTCTTAGGAGACCAGCCTTCCAGAGTGTTTCTGGAAGCTGTGTAAGATGCGGAGAGTGTGTTTTCTTGGCAACAACCATGTATGTGTGTCATTCCATCATGGGTCTCTGCCCTATGGAGTCTGGCAGTTTAGGAATTGTGGAGATCTGCCAACTTGGTCATGATGCATTGCTGTCTTCAGAATTCCTAGTCTGTGTGGCACATTGCTGCCATGGACTCCTGAACCCCTACAGGTCTCCCCTTTGCAGTCTCACTACCGGAACAACTGTTGGGGTCAGATATTTCACTGCTCTGACCATGAGCCAAGAGCAGTGTGCTGCTAGTGAGCCCCCAGGGAGGATCTTGGAAAGTATTTTTTGGGAAAAACTTACTAAGGATCACCCCTCCAGTAGACAAAGCATAATTGACTGCACTTGATAGTGACTTTGCTTGTGTAAATGCTTTTTCTAGAAATTTCTACCATTCACTTGGTATTCTGTCAAACTGAAAAGAAGCTTGAACAGATTAAGTATTTAGAAATAGGAGGACAGTTTGGAGTCAAAACTAGCGGAAGGAAGGAAATAATCAAGATTAGAGAAGAGATAAAAATAGATAAAAAAAATAATAGAGAAAACATAATGAAGCCAGAAGTGGCCATATCAGGAAAAAAAAGAACAAATTAAAGTCTTTAGAACAAATTGAAAGTGAACTAGGGAAGGAAAAAGACTCCAGTCACTGAAATTCAGGGGGATATTACTACTGATCCTACAAAAATTAAAAGAATTATAAAATAATTGCAAGCATAAAATACAAAAAAAATTGTGATGGATAAAAATGGATAAATGCCTAGAAACAAAACATTACTAAATCACAAGTAGAAAATCTGACTAGATTATTTGCTGTACTAGTTACTTACTATAACTAGTAGCACTGCACTGTAGCACTGTCCTCCTGTTGTTCATCGATTTGCTCAAGTGGGTACAGTAACATCTCACAATAAATTGTGACACTGTTGTTACTGTTTTTGGCACATTGAATATGTCATGGGTAGCTTGCCAGGCTCTGCCGTGCGGGTGAGATACTCTCGGTAGCTTGCCAGGCTCTCTGAGAGGGGCAGAAGAATCGAACTGGGTCGGCTGCGTGCAAGGCAAATGCCCTACCCGCTGTGCTATCGCTCCAGTCAGCTATAAGTAGTATAGAGTTTAAATCACTTACCAATAATCTCAACAAACAAAACTTCTGGACCTGAAGAATTTACTCAGTACTACCAGAATTTTAAAGAACTAAACCTTAAAAGTCCCCCCACCCCACCCCAAGAAGGCTGTTGTAACTAATTAATGAATTCAGCAAAGTAATGAAATACAAACTCAGCACTTAAAATCTGGTGCATTTCTAACAGTGGGAAATCCAAAATGCAAGGTAGAAAACAATTTTATTTACAAAATAGTACCGAGAAGAAGATACATAGGAATCAGTCAGGTAGGTGAAAAACTTGTACAATGGATATTGTGAAGTGTTGCTGAAAGACATTATGAGAAAACTTAAATATCAGAAGTTTTAATAGTTAATATGTCTATGCTAATCAAAGCGATCTCAAAAGTCAGTGCAGTCTCTTTCAGAATCCCTGTGACTTTTTCAAAAATAGAAACCCATCTTAAGTTCATATGGAATCTCAAGCTAAGCTGAATAGTCAAAACAAGCTTGAAAAAGTAAAACTGGAAGATCAATGTAAGACTCTAGAGAATAAAATTCTTAAGAGAAAATATGAGTGAGATTTTCATAATATTGGGTTTGGCGGTGATATTTATGGGATTTGGCACCAAATATTCAGATAACAAAAGAAGAAAAAAATCAGATTTCTTAAATTTTTTTTTAATTGCAGTAAAAGGATAGTCAGTGGGGCCTTGGTAGTGTGTGGCTCCCAGCTGTGAGTCTTTGAAAGTACTCTCCTGTAGCTGTGCTCATTTGCAGTTCCAGCATCTCTGCTGTGTGAGATCCCCAGCACCCCCAAAACAGGTGCACAAGTCCACAGTGGGCACCACAACTAAAAATATACGAGCTCTGCAGCTAAAGCATCATACGACCCTCAGCCACTGCACCTGAGTATATGTGAGCACCATAATCAAGTGTGACACCCCTAGCAAGCCCCACAACCAAGTGTGTGCAACCCCCCATCATCTCAGAAATAACCGATGAACAAAAAGAAGGGAAGGGCTGAGGAGGGGAAGAACCCAGAAGAACAGAACCTCAGTGCGCTGTTGGTGGGAATATAGCCATTTTTGTCACATACTATGGAAAACAATATGCTGTTCCTTAAAAAAAAAATAGAGTTAACATATGATCCTGTTATATACAAAAAAAGATACTTTTAGTTCGGTCCCAATGAGATATTTTTGTCACCATAATCGTCAAGGTACAAGAGTTAGAAGCAGCCAGTGTATTGAACAAATCAGCAAAATGTGATATAAAGAGACAGTGAGGCATTCAGCTTTTAAAAGGCAGGAAATTCAGCAACAGGATAATCCTAGATGTACTGTAAAATTCCAGTTATAAGAGATACTTAGTTGAAGTCAGAGAAAAAGTAGAAATGGTATTGCCAGGACTTGGGACAAAGGGAAAATGAAGAGTTATTGTTTCGTAACTCCGAGCTCCAGTTTTATTAGATGAAAAGAGTTACAGGGATGGGATGATGGTAATGGTTGCACAACATTATGACTGTGTCTAGTAACAGTGAACACTTCAAAATAAGGTAATAAACTTTATATTATTTTACCACAGTAAAAATAATGAGCTTGAGGTCGGCTCGGCACCTGTTACGGAGAGGGGAATGAAATAGGAATCATCCCATAACGTGTACATTTGTACTTTGAGACCTACGGTATTGCTCAACTGTTTCTGTTGCTTACAATCACAATAAAGGTTGGTGGAAAGGAATGAAGCAGTTTCTCCCCGCCAAATCAGTGGAGCATGAAGAAACCCCAGTTCGCTACAGCAGTAGTGAAGTTAATAACCTGAGTCCAAGAGAAGTCACCACAATGCTGCAAACGGATTCTGCAGGTAACTGTGTTACCACTTTCCTACACATAGTGGAAACAGCTATGCTTGCTCTGGGGATTTACAGTTCCTTTTGCTCTTTTTCATTATTTTTGGGCTGGGGGTGGGGGGGGGTACGGCATCAGGTATTTGAAAGAAAATGAGCTCTTTTCCAAAGTTAAAGCTCACATTTTAAATGATGACCTTGAGGGAGTCATTTCCACATCTTAGATGTTCTACCCATAAAACTGAGGCATTTGTTTTTAAAATTGTCGACATTTGTCTCTGCCTGCATGATGCTTGATTTTTACTGGAATTGTGAGGATATCGAAAGGAGAATAGAAAGACTATAGTGAACCTTATATTTATCCTACTTAACCAAGTACTTTCAAGCATTGTGTAATATTTAAAATGGGGAGAGGGTCTGGAGGGGGAGAAGTCTGGGATTACTTCCCAGAAACTGTTGTTGTTTCAGTTATAGAATATTTCTCTTTTTCCAATAAAACAGCATCAAATAGAAGTACATAAACACTAGGACAAATTATATGAGTGAGACCTTCTGGCATGTTAACAGTACAATGAAGTACTAGATAGTTGCTTGAATTTTAATTCTTAAGTTGGTACGAGTAGGTTCCATTGATCTCTGTTAAAATGACAAAGTGCCCTAAATAGGGGTCTCTTTTTGGTGTATGCCTACAGCTGCCTTACCCACTGTACCCCCCACAACCCCTGAACTAGGGAGATAAACTTTCTGTTGTGTTTTGTGTGGCCCAGAGTATGCACAGCCACTCGTGGGAGGAATTGTTGGCACGTTTCACCAGCGCTCTACCTTTAAACCAGAAGAAGGAAAAGAAGCAGGCTATGCCGACCTGGACCCATACAACTCCCCAGCGCCAGATGTTTATCACGCCTATGCGGAACCGCTCCCAATTACTGGGCCCGAGTATGCAACCCCAATCATTATGGATATGTCAGGGCACCCCACAGCTTCCGTCGGTCTGCCCTCAACATCCACCTTCAAAGCTGCTGGGAACCAAGCTCCCCCTCTTGTGGGAACGTACAGCACTCTTCTTTCCAGAACTGACAGCTGCTCCTCTGCCCAGGCCCAGTACGATACCCCAAAAGGTGGGAAGCAGGGTCCAAATGGCCCAGATGAACTGGTGTACCAGGTGCCACAGAGCACACAGGAGGTATCAGGAGCAGGGAGGGAGGGCGGAAGTGATGTCTTTCAAGAAATCCTTTGAAGATGATGCTTTTAAAAAGCATCGTTTTAAGCACATATCTTTTCCTTTTCTTTCTTTTCTTTTTCTTTTTTTTTGTAATAGTGGGTAGTAATATATAGAATGTATTACAGTATTACGTATCTGTCATGGATATGGTTGGGGAAAATATGTTGACCAAGGTACAGGAAACTACTAATCTTGCCATCTTCCTTTTAAAGTGTTACTGTGGCACAGGTACTGCTTGCCCGTTAAATTTTGAACATCATGTTTGTTACTACTGTAAGACATTATTTTTCATCCAGAAAAAAAAAAGATCCTTTCTATGCACTTCAAAGAAATTCAGAATCACTGAGAGTAAGTATTTATTACCAATGCTGCAGGTATATTAATGAACTCAAGAGATGGCTCTGTAAGCCTAAATGGCAATAATGCATGGTACTGTTCTCGAAATATCTAATGGCTTGAAATTCTGCTTTTTGTGGAAGGTGAGTACTATCATGATTTTCTCCTCCTCTGTTCTTGTATTGCCTTGTATAAATTTACAGATAATTGATCCAGTCATTTGTCTTTATCGCAGTCATATAACTTGTCTTTCCTTAGGAAGATCTGTAGCTAGGAAACTGACATGTAATGAGCAGAATGACTGATTTTTTTTTTCCTTCACTTTTCTACACTTAAGAGCTTTAACCCTTCATGGTACGTGACCTGGTCTCATCCCTGCTTGTTCCTCTGGAACCCTTGGCCAGCCCCATTCTCGTGTTTATAAAACATTCATTTTGAGGTTTTTCAAAGTGGTTTATCACCTTAAAATTCTTGCTTTTTATCAACTTCCTGCATTTAGATTTTCGGTCTTTAAATGTTCTTCTCTATGTAGAAACAGGAACCGTTTTTAGAATTTAAAGTTATATAGGAGATTTTTCTCCCTCTCTACAACTTTACTCACAGTGGGAATTTTCTTAGGGGAGTGATAAAAAGTCAAGTGCTTCAAAGTAGTAAACACATAATCTACATATGCTTATCACAGTGGAGAGCAGGATCAGAGTCATAAAATAGCAATTAGATCAGGGGTTGGGTCCCCAGCCGCACCTGACCTCCATCCCCTGCAGTCCCGAAGCATCCTCGGGGCCTAGCACTGAGCCACTGGTCTGTAGGCTAAATATCAACCCCATGGAGCACCTCTGGGGAAGCTCCAAACAAAATTAATAAATAAAGATAAAAAGTCATTGGAATCTGCCCTTTTTATTTTACTTGTCTTTTATTTCTTTGAATTTCAAGGTATTTTGAGTCAAATACAAAAAATTGTTTTCCACAGTAAACATTCCTAAGAAAATTAAACCCAGCTCTGTATAATTAGGCGCTGAACTCACCTTTGTGATGAGAGTCAGAAACAGCCCTTTAGAATTATGCTTGCATCTTGTGATGAGAGGCATAAATGGTCCTTTATACTCAGAGAATAGATGCTGTAGAATCCTAGTGGGTGAATACTTAGCTCTTACTTTTGATTACCAGTAGGAAAACTCTTGAGGACCACATGCCCAGAACTAGTTTTACATGGGGAACATGGAATTGATGAATTCCATCCAGTCTACCTGTTTGTAGTATTTTTCAAAGTGAAAGTGTCTGTGGCCAGAGTGTTAGTATAGGGGTTAAGGTGCTTGCTGCCACCCCTGGTTGGAATTGTGGTCAACTACACAGCTCCACGAGGAGTCAGTGCTGAGTACAGAGCCAGGATAGTCCCTTAGCACCTTCAGGTGTAGCCAGATCCCTCACCCCTGAATAAAGTCGAAGTGAAGGCATAAACAGAACACCAGAAGCTAACCATATAATTGAAATAGATAAATGGGACATTTTCTCTTTTATAAAGTTTGTTAACTTAAAATGTACTTTCCCATCAGTCTGTTAATTTATTTTGGCCTCCCACCAGATTATGCCAAAATTCACTAAATTTGTGTTCATTTTACCTGCTTCCATGAGTCTATCTTTTAAAATTGAACTGTTGATTTTTTTTCAGCCTCACTGCCTTCCTTAGTTGCTTGCTGATTTTATTTTTATTTAAAGCTCTTACTTTTCCAAGCATTGAAGTATATTCATTGAAAACTCAATACATATTTTCTTGAAGATCTTTGAATGAAAAAGCACAGGTACTGAACTTTTTTTCTACACATTAAATGCGTAAAGCACATTCATCCTCTTTCAGATGGGAAGAGAAGAGGCTGTGCTTTATTTTCTTATACATCCTTAATACACAGAAAAAATAGACTTTTTCCTCAAATCATGTGCCTATTTGAAGCTTTACCAGGAATGTTTTCAGTAACTATTTAATTTTCCCAAAGATACTTGCTATTTTAATGTAATTCTGTGCGCCTGATTATTTTTCCCATGGAACAGTTCTTTTGAGAGGCAAATGTTTTCTTAAATGATGCATATTTTAAGACTTGATTCTTATTGCCACTGTGCTGTCCTTGAACTACCAATGATTTTCACAAAATATCTAGTTTTCACTACTTTTCTATATTTTGCTTTCCAAATGAGAGCTGAGCCTGAATACAAAGGGTTGTTTTAGTTTTGTACTTTCGTTTGTTTTCATAGTAGAGTTGTTGATTTTTTTAAACTACATTTTTATATACCATATATATATAACAGTTTTGAAGACAATCAAGTAACAACTGAAAATGTGAAAATAACCGTGGGATTTGGGGGTTGTTTTTTTCTCACAAAATTCCCTTGAATTTTTGTTCTTTGCTTGAAATGTGTAAAAGGTTTTAGTCACTGGTTTATTGAATTAATTTTTCCCCCTGTTAAGAAAATAGAAACAACAGTGGTACAGCAAGTGTGTTGATTACAAGATTCATAAAATTACACTGACTTCACTGTTACTTGATCTTATAAAACCAGCACAGTTAAAGATATTATGAATGCCGATTTATATTTTATTAAGAGCTATAAATCTAAATAGATCCTATTGTATATGCAGGGTCTAGTCCAGTTATTTAAGTTCATGTTTCACTATTTGCACTTTGCATTGAACAATGGGTTTATTCGCTGATGAATGGTTGAAATGGTTCAAGTAGAAAATTTATATAGGAGTGGAAATTTTGATGTGATGATACACTTGCACACAAGTGCGCGCACGCACACACACACACACATGCACACACCTTTCAGGAGGTGGGGAGGAAAAAAGGAGCTCTTCTGAATATGTGACCATAATTCTATGGAAAATGATAACACTTGAACTTCTTTGCCTTGATTCAACCATGTCACCTGGAGAGCACCAGAGGCCTATGTCAGGATGATGCAATTAGTAAGAACCAAGGACTAAGGGAAAATAAAAGCTTTGAAATCATATATTAAAATGTTCCTATTTGCTCTGCCTTTTGCTTCTGATCTTGAAGTTGTCCCTAAACTGCAAAGCCTAACTAAGACTTGGGTGTTTAGTAAAATACTTATTTTTAGAACATCAACATTCATTTAATCCAATTTGTGGCTAGTCTCTCTCCGTCTGTCTCTCTTTCTGTCTCTCCCTCCCTCTCTCTGTCTCTCTCTCCCCGCTCCCTCCCTCCCTGTCTCTCTCCCTCTCCCTCCCTCCCTGTCTCCCCCCACACACACACACTGGGAAAAATGAAAACAAAACATATTGGAAATAAGATGGCTTGAGTGTCAGTGATATTCTCCCAGAATGTACTTTTCTTACCTCGGCATGTACTGTAGTCACTCAGTATTTGTATATGTTGTTAGACTTTAGATTGTTATAAATAGTGAAATTTCAATGTGTTCATGTGTTTTTAATAAATTGTATATTGTAAATTGTAAAGTTCAGATTTGATTTTTGGCTTAAATAAAACCACCGTATTGTAGCCTTTTTCTCATATCACACAAAATGCAGAACCCTTCATTTTAATATCAGATTTTATGGCCAGAATTAAATTAAACACTTGTAAATACCACCACTGTTTTACCACCATTGTTTTTTTTTGGGGGGGGGCAGGTTATACCCTTTTTTTCCGTGACTAGTCCCATCCTTCTTGAAGCCTGAGCTACTTCACAGCAAACTGTAATTGCTGCTGATTGTGTGGTATGAGGTAAAGCACTTCCTTATGTGGATTCTAGCCTGATACTTGCCATTCCCATGTCAAGGTCATTAGAACAATCAAAGACTCAAAGTACATATATGTTAACTGTACATACTTCATATCTAGAGCTAGGTTAAATCAACTCATGGCTTTTATGTATTTATACAGTTTGTTACTCTGGTGTTCCATTCTTAATACACTGTAATAGAGAAGCAGGTGTCTATTGTCAGTGTCTTCCAGTAATAATTATTGTTCAGAAGATCCATTCTTTTATCTCCTAGCACTTGGAGAGCTTTTAATTCCATCTTTACAATTTGTCCTGTTGTCTTCCTTTCTCTCTGCACCCCCTCATGGAAGGGAAAGGAGCTCGTGTTTGTAGGAGTGACGTGTTTGCACTCCATAGGACTTTTCTGGGAGCCAGTAAACTTGTCTTTTGAAGATAAGGTTGTTTTTCATGAAAGGACAATTTAAATCCAAAAAACAGCTTAATTTTTTTATTCAAATAGTAAACTTTGATAATTGAATAAATTAAATCAGATGGACAGGCAAAAAAAAAAAACACAACACCACGTTCAAGAATGTTCTTGAGCTTACCTAGCTCAGTTTTGTATGAAATTAAAATGTTTTACTTCTTTAATAGAATGAAGTCACCGGATTTTAGTAGTAGTATTCTTTGATTACATTTACTCATCCGGAATTGCATGTTTATCGATGTCAACTTACCAAATTATTCTTCGTAATTGTGGTTTAGTACATTTCAGGGAGAAAAAATACTTAATTAAATCAGTCTAAGCTTAGATTCCATTCACTCCCCTGTACTCAGCTAACTTAAGATTTGAATCAGGTTTCTTGGTTAGGACAAAAAAAAAAAGGGAACTAATCAGTCTTCCTGTTGAATGTCTGAAGAAATTCCAGTTTGCCACATCAGGGTTCAGCCACATGTCAATTTCCCACCAACTTACAGTAACCAAACACACTTCTCAGTACTTGTTATATTCAGAGGCTGTTGTGGTAAACTAAATCCTCTTATTAAGAAGCCACATGCTTCCAAAGTCTAAGATGAAACAAACTATAAAAAGACATTTGAAACACTCAGAAAAGTAGCCTATTTAAAAAAAAAAAACTGTCTCCCTGATATCCTAACTGAACATGTCTCGGTTTTCATAAGTTAAATATATTCACAGAAACTAAGCTGGTGGATTAAATCACCAGTTACCAACAGACAATACACATAATATCCATAATCTTCTGATTAATTCAGCATATTAAAAATAAAAAATCGCAGTACAAAAATAAAATACTGTTCACATCATCTTCTGAATCTTTAGGGTCAATCTTGAGTCAAGTTGATTACGAAGTTTTTTTGTATAATATCCTTTAAAAAGAGCTGCTCTGCAGTCACATTATGATAGGCACTCTACAGAAAAAAGAAAAAGAAAATCACCATCAATACCAGTCTCAATCCAAACTACCGCAGTAGAGGAATAAAAAGACGACATGGCCTTTTAATTTTTGTTGCTTTCTAATTATCTTCTCATTCTTGTGCCAGGACTCTGTTAAAGCCCACCTCTTCTCATATGTAAAAGAGGCTCCCTCACATATCCTGGTCTGTTAAATCAGGATATGAATATAGACATCCATCAAAATCTTAAGTCAGAGGGATTGGTTACTTGTATAAAAGCAGCACTTAGAATAATAATGGGACAAGGAATACAAGGCATCAAAGGGGGATATGTAATTACCCTGGTCGTTAGATTATAGAAATAAGGAAAACAGGGAAAGAAAGAAATGGGGGTTGACAAGTGTGTGATGGGTAGATGGTAGGTGGGCTAGAAAAGAGATCACTGTGATGGTGATCACTGGGAATGATCATGCTGGACAAGAACTAAGTGTTGGAAGTAGGTGGAGGGATGTTCCTGAGGGCCTTTCAGTATCTGTATTGCAAACCACAATGCCCAAAAGGCAGAGGGGAGGGGAGAGAGAAAGAGGAAGGGAGAGACAGAAACAGAGGCAAGCAGGGTACATACAGGGTGGGAGGTGGAAGGGACACCGGTGCTGGGAAATGTACACTGGTAGAGGGATGGGTGTTGGAACACTATGACTTTTCATGAACAGCTTTTAAGGGTCTATCATTAAAAAAATTTTAATATTAAAAAATGAAAACATTAAAGTATTAGTTGAAAAAGAAATGAAGGACAGAAGAAAGAGCCCTCAGATACATTGGTGATGTAGATGTGTGTTATATCTGTAGATCTGAACCACAGACCCAATAAAACTAAAAATGAGATCAAAACTACTGTGGAAGGAGGTTGACACTCATGATGGGATTGGTGTTGGAATATTCATTGTATGTCCGAAACTCAACTATGAATAACTGTTTAAATTGTGCTATCTTAATAAAAAGAAATTTTTTTAAAGCAGTACTTAGTAAAGTCTTTAATAAGAATGGTAAGTTTTAAGATGTTTAATCTTATTTACTGATAAATATCCCAATTTTCCTCTTAAAATTGTTTTAAGGATCCATTCTTCAGTGTTTCTCCACCTTTTCTCAATCCTGGCCCCCTTCTGACCTGGTGTCCTGTCTCCTAGTCTTGTGCCTTGGTCCCTCCCTATGCAGATTTTTACCTGTGTCTCTCTTGGAAGATTCTGGGTGCTCACAGGAGGCCATATAAGTTGTGGAATGCTGCTTTAGATGACCCTTGAACTACCAAAAGTGCTACGGCGGGAACACTAGGGCTCAGACAAATGGCCTGAAGTCTGTCTGTCCTGAGCACCTCACTCTTAAGCTACTCAAGTGTTTGTCTGCCATTGTGAGGAAGGGGTCACAATACAGTATAACCTACCCCCATGGCTCATACAGTACCTGGGACCATGGAATTTGGCATGGATTATATCCATTAACTGCAGAGCAGTTACATTTACATTTCAGTATTAAAAATGCAAAGTTATTCTTATCACAGAGTATGTCATGAGACATAAATTCAAAGAATAGTATGTATTCAGTCATTTAAAATTTAAGGAATAAAAAAAGCAAAAAAATAAAAATAAGGAATCAATCATACTCTAAAGGTTTGTAGCCTCTGAGCATGAAAACTTTTCCATGGGGTTAAAATATTACTCTTTAGGGCCAGAGTGATAGTGCAGTGGGCAGGGCATTTGCCTTGAATCTGGTCAACCTGGGTTCAATCCCTGATGCTCCATATGGTTCCCTGAGTGTGCCACACCCCCACGCCCAAAAGAAAAATGTTGAGTTTTGTAACTGAAAAAAAAATGGTGGAAAATTTACTATGAATATCACAATGCTTTTAGGTTAATTTGAGGTTGGCTATATATTTAAATGTGCTAGTATGATAGAGCATTTATCTGGGAGTGATGATTAACTGTAAGGAGAGCTATACATTGGTAATGAGTTATTGTATGAAAACTTTGGATTTGCCCTAGTTTCAGCATTTGGTAGCTCTGGAATCCCTATTTTAGTCCCTGACTTCTCAGAACTTGTTCTCCCGGGTAAAATGAGAGGGTGAAAAGGAAGATTATAGGTTTATCTTCAAAGATCATACTTAAGTTTGGATCTATTCACATGCACACACACATAGTTAGGTATTACCTTATTCATCAGAGACATGGTAGTATTCCCGTAGTAGTGCAAAGGACTTTGGGGGTCGGAAAAGTTGTATCTAAAACCAGCAAGGTGAACTTCATGACATATGTGAAAGGCCAGTGTGATGGCAATAATTCCTGTTGTTGGGTGCTTGGGTTTCTGGGAAGTGAGAAGGAACAAAGAGATTGTTCAAATAATCCAAGTAAGTAAGATACTGGTTTCAAAACATATTTGAGTGATTTAACTTTATAAAGTAGAACTTCTGAACATTTAATCGAGAGGAATATTGAAGAAAGGTTCATTGTGCCCTAAGATTCAAGACCAGGTCTTATTCCCTGACCCTGAGAAGAACATTATGGTGTCACTGAAATCTTGGAAGCCTTTCAAGTAAAATGTCACTGCAAATGCATTTGCCCAGAGCACAGCTTATCAAGTGAAGAAGTCCTGTGATACTCGGGAAAAGGAAGCCGCTGCCTCTTGTTGATTCAGCCTCCTGGTGGACTCATCAGTGCAACTTCACTCACTAGCAGAATAATGGCAAAAAACTTCCTATGAATTAGCCTTAGAAAAGCTTTCTTTCATAATTCTATTTACAGAATGACTAACTTTTGTCGAGGGATGGTGACATGACACAGTGATAGTAAATATTTGAACATTTCAGATGGATGTCAAAGTCTCCATTGAATTATTATCAACTTAAACAGCCTCAAAAGGAGGAAATCAAACACTCTGTACATCCACAGACACACAAATACAGATTTCATTTAAAGTAATGATTCCTTGCCACATAGGAATTATAAATGTGTGTGATTTTGAGGGGAAAGTGACAGTAAAAATAAAACTCCAGGTAGCACACTTGTCTGAAAGCTTAACAGTAATTTGCAGAAACATTTCATCATTTCATTGTCTGCTTGGAGGGGAAATGAAAGAAGTTGAAAACTCAGAAGCCTTATGACTCTTTAATGAAAATTTAAAAACAAAACCAAAAAAAAAAAAAACCCTAGAAGCCATCTAGGGCCTAGATGTAAAATTTGGTGGTTGAGCAAGTTCACACCCAAAAGACCCTAGAAGTCACTCAACCTCACAGATTCTGTCATTTCCCCAATTTCATGTCCTATGTTTGCTGCTTTCTTACTTTGTCCAATACCAAAACCATCATCTCCATGTGTAGACCGCTAATTCTTTTCCACATACAATACCCATACAACCTATGTTAGTAGAATCTTAATCTTTCAACCTTAATCCGTTAAACCCAAGCAACAAGTAACATAAAAGTAGACCTTCATATACTCTGTCTCATCTGGGCATCCAGTATGTCCAGAATTATTCTATTACATTCTTCTAGTAAAGTTTCATTCCTTTACTCCAAGATTACAGTTTTATGTTTTTCTATTCGTCCAATAGCTCTGGCCCTTTTTCCTGCTTGAAATGTTTTTTTCCCTAAGAAAACAAGCACCCAGACAAAATCTATTATCATCTTCCCAACCCCAAGTCTATCTTTATATGTGTTTTCAGTGCTCATTCCTTGCATGGTTTAAATGTCCCGGTTGCTATTTACAGCCAGCCTTTCTTAGTGGGCTACTTTCCATGTCATCTATTAAAGTTGTCCCTACAATTAACTATTTTCTCCCATCATAATTGAAATTTTCTTTGTTAAATATCCCTTCAATATACACATCATTTGTCTTCTTTAGAAACAACTTTCCTTGATCCCTTCAAGTTTTGCTCCCATTTCTGTGCACTACATTCTAGTAGAACTAAAGATTTTGTCTCATTTCTTATATTCTCTTTAATGCAGTTCAAGGACACTTCCCCCCCCCCTTTTTTTTTCATTTCACTTGTATAACCTCTGTTTCTAAAACCAGCACTGAGTATTTTTCCTTGGCCTCTGGACAGTTTCTGACACAGCTGACCTCCATATGTAGCAATGTCCTCATTTGGCTTCTGGGAAAGTGTCCTACTGGAACTTTAATCTAGTTACAACTAGTTCTACTGTCACCTTTAAGTGTGATCGGGTTATTCCTCTGCCTTTAAAGATACCACTTAAAAAACAAGACAGATGAATCTGATCATATCTCAATATTAGGAAAGAACTGGAAATTAATAAAATATGAAGTCCTTACCCTGCAGAATTACTAAGAAATAGGATTAAAATTAAAATATTTATGCTTTTTCGTGGACTTCATGCCCAATTCAATCAGCCTAATCAGTGGCTGAATAAGTAGCAATGCTCCTACATAAAAAGAATAAAAAAATAAATAAGAAAAAAAATGTATGCCTTTTCACTTGGGAATTCCAGTGCCAGAACACTGATCTACAGAAATCACACAGATGTAAAAAATATCTCTATAAATTGTCTGCCATAGAGGCAGAGGGTGGGGGTGGAGTGGGGGTGATGGGAGGGATACTGGGACATTGGTGATGGGAAAGCTACATTGGTGGAGGGATGGGTGTTCGATCATTGTATGACCGAAACCCAATCATGAAAACTTAGTAACTGTATTTCACAGTGATTCAATAAAAAAAATTATATATATATATATATATATATATATATATATATACACACCTATAAACATTATATATAGAAGAGGGAAAGCTGAATACAAACCCGAATGTCTTCTAATGAAATAGAGACTGGAGCAGTAATAGTACTAAACACAGGGTGCTTGCCTTGTGGCAGACCCACCTTCAATTCCCTGAACCCCATATGGTCCCAAAAGCCCCACCAGGGGTGATCCCTAGTGCAGAGCCAGGAGAAAACCCTGAGCACCGCCAGGCGTGGCCCAGAAACAAAACAAAAAATAGTTAAATGGAAGTAAAAGTAGAGTGATATCTCTAGTATAGTTGCAATTATATTTAACAAAACACCCCCCCCCCTTTTTGGGGGGAGTTTACCTAGGAGTAAGCCCTGTGGTACTCACTCAGGACTTACTTCTAGGTGTGTGCTCAGGGGAACATATATGGTACAGGAGGATCTAACTTTGTGTGCCAGACAAGTCCCCTACCTGTTGTCTCTCTGGCCCACCAAAAATTTTGTGTGTGGGTGCATAGTATAGAAAAAATAGAATTTTTTTTCAATTTTGAAATGCATGATACAGAAAAAATAGAGGGATTTCCTTTTTATTTTTTGGCACTACTTTATAAGTTGCTTGATTTCAAGCATGTAGTAATTGAGACTCATAATCACCATCTTTATCCAGAGAAAAGAAGTGATGTGTTCATTTCTTTATTTCCCTACTTTACTGCATTGGAAAACCTCCCTTCAGTTGAGCTATCATGGCACAATTACTCAGACTACAAATGAAAAACATCTCTGCCTCTGTGTGTGTCCAAAGTGTTATTTTCTGGAGATTGTAGACAAGCAGGGCTACAAAAGTCAAAGTCAATGAGACTTAAAGACTTTAGTTTCATGAAATCTCAATACTACTATAATTACCATTTTGTTTCTTTTACGACTGCAGAAATATGTATGGCCTAGCTTATTACCCTCCCTACCCTTTCCTCCAGTTTTCCTGTGATATTTGTATCAGAGTGCTTCACATCCTTCTTTTTAGACTAGAAGATGCGCTTCTGAAGCCAGTGCTGCTACTCTGAGCACTCAGCAGCCCACTAGCCATGCCTCTCTTCAATCACACACACTTAGCTGCAGAACATTTTGAGTGATTTCATGAGACATGAGGGATATGAGCCTGTGGAAGGAGACCAGATGCACAGAGCAAGAGCAGGGAGGGGCCAGAGTCAGTGGACCATCCACAGGTACCGTATTTTGCCAACTCAGATTTGATCCCCTCATGAGTTGTGGTTCTCCATCAGTTTTGAGAACCCTGGAGGACCTACCCAGAGAGAGCTTTCACGTGAGATAATGTAAGGGAAAAAAAAACATACCTGATCTTTGGGAAACACTTCTGGGAAATGAAGCAGTTCATAAGCTGCTGTTCTAATAATGAAGGGATCCAGTATTCTGATTTGATATGGTTTATAGATGAGGTTTAAGGCTGGTTTCTTCCAAAAACCATTAATGTTCTGAAATTTTTTAAAAATAGAGAAAATAGAGCTGTATGTTTCTTTTTTTTTTTTTAAGGAAGAAAGAGCAATAGGAAGATCAGTTTTGCCAACTTACTATTTTGCTACCTGTCAACAGTCCCCATAGCCACTTTAAATCAAGTGGCTTAAAAGCAGTAAGAATCACTGTGGTGTTAGGATCATTATGACTGGGATCTGAAAAAACAGATTCTGGATAAAAAAGTCGGAAGGTTGTTCTTCTCCCAACATCTTCTTCATGTCCTAAAACAGGACCATTATTCATTCTGTGGGTAAAAGACAGAAAATGCACAGTATGAATCATGTCCATCAGTTTACAGAGATTTTTGAATTGAATAAGTGCCACCTCATATGGGAGCTACAAGGTACTCCTATGATAAAGCACAACAGCCAGGTAGTTTGTTTCCTTATAGCAACTCTTTGATCTAAGGCATATATGTTCTTTTTTTACTTGACCATTGTGGGTCCTTCATAATTCAGTATTACCCCCAGTAAAGATTAAACAGAACCCAAATAGGAACTACAGAATACTAATGCTGAAGGTTGGGAGGACAAGATAGACCCAAAGGGCAAAATTTACTCGTCCAAAAGGTATACTTCCCTAAGGTTGCAGTCATATAGTACATGAACATATGTATAAGTGAGAAAAAGACTATCATTCATGGTAATGTGAGGACCCACCAAAACTCAGACTGAAATAAAGGAACTGTAAAATGCTATATTACACCCAAGCACAACCAAATAAATGTCTGTTACTAAAGTGAATTAAAGAACCATGAAGGATCTACTGTTGCATTCATGTATGCTCAATGGTAATATTGAATCTGCACTATTTATGTGCACACTGTGAAGACATGCTATTAAAAGAAGTGTTTTGTACTGCCAGGAATAATTCCTGAGTGCAGAGTCAGGAGTAACCCCTAAGCATTGCTGGGTGTGACCCAAAAAGCAAAAAAAAAATGCTTTGTTTCCAAAACAGTGTCCCCTCAGAGGAGAAATACTGTTTACCCTTTGCCATGGTCTATGTAATACAAAATAGCCCTACTAACACTTGGACTGACTTTCGTAATGTTGGACCCATGCCATTACCCGACAAGGGCTTTCTATCATTCTAGGTGATCAGATTTTAAAGTATAAGAAATGTGTGTATGAAAATAGTTTTGGGGGGTTTGGCTTGGTTTTTTGGAGGGGGTGGTTTTGGGGGCACACCCGGCAATGCTCAGATTACTCCTGACTCTGCACTTAGGAATTACTCCTGGAGTTGCTCAGGGGACCATATGGGATGCTGGGGATCAAACCTGGGTTGACTGCATGCAAGGCAAACACCCTACCTGCTGTACTATCACTCTGGCTCCTCCAAATATTTTTACAGATCAATTTTCACAGCTTTCTTATAAGGGATAAAAAAGAGAAAGTGAGATGATCTTCCTAGCAATAATCCAGCAAAACCCACAGCACTGCCAGGACACTCTAATGCTCTACTCCAATGTGTGTAGTTTTTCCTACTCTCCAAAAGACTCTTAAAGCCACTTCAAAGCACATCCGATTGACCCCAGATGACCTTAAACCCAACCCTTCAGTGAGAAAATGGAAATGTCCTTTTTCCTGCCTCTTACATCTGTGAGATGACTGGCAGCTGTAACTACAATTCTGGTTTTCTTGTGTTTTTTTTTCCTTCACCACAATATGCTGTAGCTCCTCCTACCCTCACAGAAATGCATAGAAAAAACAAATTTTCTGACTCTGTAATCATCTCTAGTGATCATCTCCTGCCTCAACTCCACAGTAAATTCTCTCATAAGAGTTGCTTATACGGGTATTTCCACTTTACCTTTCATTCTCTCAATCCTATTCAGAGATTTCACCCTCCACACAACCCCTAACTTTGCAAGTTTGCTTTTGTCGAGAGTGCCAGTGAACTGGTCTGCAGTTGTAAGCTTGCCACAAGTGGGGAGTGGGAAGAGAGGGCAGTTAGGATAGAGAGGGAACCACTATGACAATGCTAGTTGGAAATGATCACTCTGGACAAGAACTGAATGTTGAAAGGAGGCAAAGGGTTATACATGATAGCCTTCCAGTACCTGTATTGCAAACCATAATCCCCCAAACACCCAGCCACAGCCATGCTCAAAGCCACTCTCCACATGCTCAGACGAGCCTCACACATGAAGGAACTGTCAGAGGAACCCAGGTGTGCGGGACCCGGGGCTGGGATCTCGAAACCTGCAAGGATTGGGACTGGGTCTCCTCCAACCAGATCCTCCATCTTCCAGTAGCTTGGCAGTCACACCCACAAACTGCCCCCAGCGCCATGTAATCCCATCAATGGTCAAGATCCAGGGACCATAAAACAAAGCTCCCTGAAGCACACAGCCTCATTTGCAGCCTCGAGACCTCTTATAGTCTAGTTGTCCCTCTCGGAGAACCCAGCAAGCTACTGAGAGTATCCTGCCTGCACGACAGAGTCTGGCAAGCTCCCCATGGCATATTCGATATACCAAAAGCAGTCACAATAATGGGTCTCATTCCCCTGACCCTGAAAGAGCCTCCAATGTGGAACCGTTGGGAAGGACGAGTAAAGAGAGGCTGCTAAAATCTCAGCCTGGGACACATGGAGACATTACTGGCACCTGCTCAAGCAAATCGATGAACAACAGGATGACAGTGATACAGTGAATCCCCCAAATGAAAGAGAGAGAGAGAGAGAGAGAGAGAGAGAGAGATGAAAAGTGTCTGCCAAAGAGGCAAACTTGGGGGTCAGGGGCGGGGGAAAGTGCACAGCAGGGAAACTGGGGACATTGGTGAAGAGAAATAAACACTGGTGGAGGGACGGGTGTTGAAACATATTATTAATTTTTTTTGGCTTTTGGTCACACCCCGGCGAATGCTCAGGGGTTATTCCTGGCTCTGCACTCAGGAATTACTCCTGAAAGTGCTCCGGGGACCATATGGGATGCTGGGGATTGAACCAGGGTCGGCCCAGCTGCATGCAAGGCAAACACCCTACTCACTGTGCTATCACTTGGGCCCATTGTTGGAACATTTTATGACTAAAACCCTATCATGAACAACCTTATAAGTGTTTCATGGCGATTCAATTAATATTGATAATAATAATAATTTTTTTAAAGAGATCTGAGTAGAAGTCATGAGTAATCTCCATTGCCTTTCTGGAAGATGTGATAGATCCATCATGATGTCGGAGGGCAGTTATCTTGGTCTTGTAGTTGGTGAAGGACAGGTGGGCATTACGAATGCTTTTCCCAGCTTCTGCCGCATCTACCAGCACTGCTGCTCTCCTGTTTTTGAGGTCATCCTTGATGACTTCTCTGCATTGTTTTGCCAGCTCGGATGTTCGCTTGTGGTTGCCTGAGGCATGTGCCAAGCCACGTTGGCAAATAAGTTCAAGAGTGTTCGAAGAAAGGCAGTTTTTTGTGGTTATCTCTCTCTTGGCATTCCTCGCACAATCATGGAGGTGCTGAATCATTCGATCGTTATCCTCATCAATGTTGTCAATGACGGCATCTTCCTATGTTGCTGCAACAGAGCCAAAGAGCTCCCAGTTGGTGGTAGTTCTGGGAGTCCTCTTCTTAAACCTTGCATTCTTTTCTCCTCGTTCTGTGAGGCAGAATTTTGCACGAAGGAGACGGTGGTCTGATCCCGTTTGGAATTTTGGGACAACAGCAACATCGGTTAGGCAAAACCGCCGATTGAATATGATGTGGTCTATTTCATTGTGGAACCGTCCATCGGGAGACTCCCATGTCCAACGTTTAGATTCAGCCTTTTGAACTGTAAGTTACCATGGAAGGTCTTGGTTGACATGATGAACTCAGAACTATTTGGGTCTCTCAAAGAGGAATCGAAAGAGCTATGCTTAGAATATCACGATTCACTCAAATGAGAGAGAGAATCCAGAGTTCTGATTTTCGTCAACGCTCAAGAATCAGGGACGCTGTCTCATTTGCCAAGGCATCAAAAATCAGATGGCTGGACACATGATGAGGTTTACAGACAACCGCTGGACTAGAGCCATTACTGATTGGATTCCATGGGACATCAAAAGATCACGTGGACGCCCACCTACAAGACGGTCAGACTTCTTCATCAAGACCCTGAATGATAGGTTTGAGGCTCTGCATGTTCCTAGAACAAACAGATACCATTGGGCTACGCTAGCACCCAACCGGGATGAATGGAGACGTTACTGGCACCCGCTGGAGTAAATCGATGAATAACGGGGATTACACTTTATTAAGTGATTAATAATAATTTATTGATTATTAATTTTATAAAGGTAAAGGCCCTCCCGTTGATCGTCGATTTAATTTTATATTATTATTAATTAATTATTAATTTTATTAATTATTATAATTTTATTCATTATTATTAAGTGATTAATAATAATTTTTAAAAGAGGGCCAGTTTTGTCAACCTTGGTTCTGTCTTGCATGACCTCTTACTGGTACTGGATGTGGTCAGTCCCTCTCTATTTTAAACACTGTGTTCTCTTGGCATCTGTGGTCGCCTTTCTCCTATCTACCTAACTAGAAGATACATCTCTTGCTGTTTTCTTTGCTCAACTCATATTTTTAAGGGGATACTGGAGTCACCCCTAAATCTTTGCACATGACTGACTCTGGTTCGACTGACTCTGGTTCAATTCCTACCATTGAATATGGTCCCCTGAGCATAGCCAGGAGTAATCCCTGAGCACAGAGCCAGAAATAAGCACTCAGAACCACTACCACACCTCCCCCCTTATATATGTATATATATATGTATGTATATATGTATGTATATACATATATATGATATATAATATCACATTGCTCTCTTGCTTAAAAGTTTTAAGAAGCTTCTCATTATATTGTTTGTACTACTTTTCATACTCTTTCAAAACTGGTTCTTACTCCCATGGGGATGTGCAGTGAAAATCCTCTCTGTTTCAATTGGTTATTTTTCGTAACCTTAATTTGTCTAGGACTATATGATACCCTAAGTCCAATCAGTGTCTTCTTAGAGTGAAAGTGATCTGCTCATCCACTCCAAAGTAACAAATCAATCCTTTAATAGTTTTTTACTTGTATGACACTTAAAATTACATCTTATTTAATTAAAATTACATCTTATTTAATTATTGACTTCCTCTTAAAAGACTGCAAGCTTCAGAGGAAGAAAGAACAAGTTTTTTTTTATTGTATCTTTCACATAACCTTTTAAAATTAAAAAAATTATAATTAACTTTTTTATTATTTGATATCTTTACAACAGCATTTCCATTCATGGTATTGATGTATAAGTCACATCACCAACACCAGAGTAAGTAAGGTGGTCCAAAAATAGGTCTTTTTTTAATTCCAGTCCACCATCATTCCCCTCTCCTCTTACTCCCCATGATTTACTTGATAGTCTCAGTTCTTTAATCCAGGTCCAAGAGTTCATTTTCATTTGATGTGGTCTATTCCCTTGTTTCTCTGTACACTACAAATGAGTGAGATCATTCAGTATCTATCTTCCGCCCTCTGACTTCTTTTGCTTCAACATGATACCCTTTGTTCCATCCAAGTTGCTCTGAACTGCATGATTTCATCTGAAGAATGTTTTTCTTATTTATTGCTATATCTTTTGTAGCTAGCATATCCACGGAACAGAACAAATAATTGCTAAATGAATTTCCTGAAATGTATGCGTACTCTGGTCAACTTGAGGATGAGGAATGAGATTGTGCAATAAACATAAAGAGCATCCCTTTTCCTTTTAAAACATGAAGTTAGGAAACCAAGCTAAGTAAAAAGACAAATACTAGATGCATGCTTTTATTCATAAGTGGAATATAATAAACCAAACCCAACACCTATAATGCACTTCATTTCAAAATAATAAAATGTTAGGACTGGAGCGATAGCACAATGGGTAGGGCATTTGCCTTGCATGCGGCTGACCCAGGTTCAATTCCCAGTATCTCATATGGTCCCTTGAGCACTGCCAGGAGTAATTCCTGGGTACAAAGCCAGGAGTAACCCCTGTGCATCGCCAGGTATGACCCAAAAAGCAAAATAATAATAATAATAATAATAATAATAATAAAATATCCACCTCAATTCAAACTACTTGAATGTTCTCTACGTAAACCATCACATGAGCTGAGGTTTAATTGAGGTTTCCCTGAAAAGGGAAAGGGAATGATGGAGCACAGGGTGAAGGACTGTAGTAGAGAGGCCGTGGTAGATGGTCACTGGTACTTTGGTGGTGGATGTGGTATAATAACATACATCTAGAGATGTGTAAGCCAATATCCCTAAAATATAAACAATTATAAGCCAGCATTGCCAACATAAAAATAGACTTCAAAAATAAATATTATTTTGAAACAATCCTAGGTAAACAAATAGGAACTATGTGTACCTTACCTTATTATTACATCATAGGAGTCAATTTTTTCTCCTAAAGACTTATTCTTCAAAATTCCTCCATTGCCAACCACCACACACTTTTTACATGGCACACTGTTGAATAAATAGACAAGTGAGAGATTAAACCATTTGTTACCAAATTGGGGGACTCCAATAGTCTATTTATGTATTCAGGATTCCAATGTATTTCACTTGTTACACAAGTCAAAAAATGAAACCACTTGTAACTTAGAGATCTGCGGTGACTCAGATAAGACCAAGAAATGACATTACTTGAAAGTATATCGTCATTAGCAGTTGAAACACGTTCTCTCACATTTGACTCTAATGTCATCCATTGCAGTGCAGTAAGACCTTATGCCCTCATTTTTACAAATCTGAAGGTTAAGAAAACTCCGGTGGAATATTTTAAAGTCATACTCCAGAGAGAAAGACCCAGAAATTAGACAACAAAAAACCCACTGACATAGGATCCTGCAGACTACTACTGATAGAAATATATTTAACCTGAACTATAGATTCAGTTTCCACCAGCTTTCCCCATGTCCCTGAGATTCTAGCTCTGAGTACTGATGCTTTCTGCCAGTATGAAATACTGGACAGTAAGTCCAGCTTCCCTTGTTCTAGCCTGTGCTTTCTTTAATTCCTCAAATATGTAACAGTTCTTGGAGCTGGACCAATACAAATCCAAAGTTTACTCTGTTCCTGGCAACGAGTTTGAAAGTGGTAGAGGAAGGAAACTTTTTGTTCTATCTGGGACCAGCTTAGGAGCATACAGGTAGTAATCCAACAGCTCTCAGTCAACACGGCGCTGACCCACCTGACCCATCTACCTGCAGGAGACAGGAGAGAAAGAGCTGCATTATGCTACACAGACTCGGCCACTCCCTGAAACTGAGGCTGAGTATGTCCAAGCCCTTCCTACTGCAGCATCCATCCCGACCTGGTTCTCAGCCTGACTCCTTGGCTGCCTGAACCCAATAACCTCAATGTTATCCAAGAAGCCAGGTCCATTCCCTAGTGGTTCTCGTCCGAGAGAAAAGGATTTGTGACCCACAAGCCTAACCTTAGGAGGTGATGTCACTCTGAATGAAGGAGCTGGGGTCAGTCACAGATGCTGCCAATTCCATTACTGCTGTTCAACAATAAACTGACAAAACTGCAAAATCTCAGTATTCACAGAGCTTCCCACTCAGGGTATTCTGGATTGGGCAGAGATAAAGATGGTCATGACCTAACTCATTTGTGGGCACAAGAGCATCATGATATGAGAAGTCACCATCTGTCATATTATCAGGCCTCATCCCTGTTTCCTACTCAAGACTTGAAGGTGCTGGGGTCTGCCTTTGTGCCCTATGGCTCTTACTCAACAGGAAAGGGGGAGTCGAGGGTAGGGGCAGATTCTTCCATGGGGCCCCTAAAGAGTCCCTTTATCATTTCCTGTGTCTGGTCTCTCCTTTTTAACTCTGATGGCCCCAGGACAGTCAATGACTGCAGAGTGAAAAATGAAATCTTACAACCTTACTCAAAAGAGCTCCACTTCTAAAATCACTTTATAGTTCAGTGATAACATTTTTCTGAATTTCACTTTTGGTTTTCATCTCAGTCAACTCTCTAGGCACAGAGGGAAAATAGGCGAAGTTTACCAAGACTTGGAAAAGAAACATCTCAATGACATTTCACTTTTCTTCCTGGTAAGAGATATTGAGAAGACAAGGGCATTTTATTGAGTATTATATGTATCACTGAAACTTTTAGAAGTGTCCTTAAGATTAGTCTTTGGCTTTACATATGTGGCTTGAATTCTCAATGCTCCCAGACCTGTGGGAAGCATGTTGTGGTACTGATACATGATCTGAACCACACACCTCATTTCTCATTGCTTCCTTCCCTCTCTGGAAAGTACTCCATATTAGCAGAAGAGTGACTTATCATCCTTTGACTTCATCCACCTGCCCTGGTCCTAGTTTTCTCTGTTTCTTTATGTGTCAATGAGAAACTTCCCGTGTCTTTTGGGTGATTTGATAACTTCATCATTTTTCATTAACATGACCTTCATGCTTCTACAAAGAAATCTGAATCCTTAAAAAGCAAGAGAGGCATCATTTATTGTTCTGTATCTTTCCAGCTAAAAATTTTCTGATTTATAGGCTGTGTATTTTAGTCTTGGTTTGGCAGTGACACTAAATGCGGTAGTTATTTTCTGATGTGTGTGTGTGTGTGTGTGTGTGTGTGTGTGTATTTACTGGTTGTGGCATATCGAATACCCCACAGATAGCTTGCCAGGCTCTGCCATGTGGGTGGGATATTTTCGTTAGCTTGCCAGGCTCTCTGAGAGGGATAGAAGCTTTTAGGGTGGCCTCTAATTGCCCTTGCAGGTGTTCCCATGGTTAAAACCATATTTGAACACTACCAAATATGGTGTAATAATCTTGGAAAATGGGTATTGTCTTGAGATGTGTTGCAGTCGCACAGTTCAGAAAGTGTCCTGGAGTGTGGCGGCAGCTGGGTAGTGGAGATAGTGGAGGTCTGCCGATGAGGTATTTATCTGGTACAGGTAGGGTGGGTCTTCTGTGTGTAAGCCCTGGGTCACAGGAGGTTGGTGGAAGCAGACAGGGCAGAGTACGGTGGGGTTTGTAGGTTTAATTCCTTGGTCGCCGGAGATTGGTGGAAGCAGGCAGAGGATCTCTGTTCCTGGGTCCCTTTGAGCCTGGAGTCCAAGGTCACAGAGTTCCGCTTACCTGGTTCTGTGGGGCTTCACTAGTGCGTGAGTCTCAGCCCAAGCATCCAGAAAGCATTCTGGAGCATGGTGGTGGCTGGGTAGTGGAGGTAGTGTAGTTCTACAAGGAAGTGATCATCCATGTCAAGAGAAAGGTTCGGCAGGGTGATACCATTTCACCGAAACTCTTCAGTGCCACCTTCGAGAATGTCATGCAACGACTGGAATGGGAAGGAATGGGAGTGAAGATAGATGGTCGGCAACTACACCACCTCTGCTTCGCTGCTGACATCGTTCTAATAACACCAAACATCAGCCAAGCGGCACAAATGCTGGCCAACTTTGACCATGAGTGTGGAAAGGTTGGACTATAGCTGAATCTCACAAAGACAATGTTTATGAGAAACAGTCTCGTTCCTGACATTCCATTCACTCTCAATGTAATGAACATCTCTGAATGAACAGTTATGTGTACCTAGGTCGAGAAATCAACATGACAAACTGAGTTGCGCAGGAGGAAGAGAGCGACTTGGAACGCCTTCAAGAGCATCAAAGAAATAGCTAAGAGGACAAAGAATCTCTGGCTCCAGGCACATCTCTTCGATTCCACTGTTCTTCCTGAATTAACATATGCCTCAGCGACCTGGGCTCTATGTAAACAGGATGAGAACGCTATTCCTCCCAAAGAGGAATAGAAAGAGCTATGCTTGGAGCATCACGCTTCACTCAAGTGAGAGAAAGAATCCGGAGTTCCGAACTCCATCAATGATCAAGAATCAGGGATGCTGTCTCTTTTGCCAAGGTGTTGAAAATCAGATGGGTTGGACACGTAATGAGATTTGGAGACAACCACTGGACTAGAGCAGTTACTGACTGGATTCCTCAGGACATCAAAAGATCGCGTGGCTGCCCACCTACAAGATGGTCAGACTTTTTCATCAAGACCCTGAGCGATCGTTTTGAGGCTCTTTGTGTTCCTAGTATGAGCAGACACCATTGGGCTACACTAGCATGCAATAGGGATGAATGGAGATGTTACTGGCGCCCGCTCAAGCAAATCGATGAGTACTGGGATGTCAAGTGATCAAGTGATCGTGTGTATGTGTGTGTGTGTGTGTGTGTGTGTGTGTGTGTGTGTGTGTGTAGAGAGAGAGACAGCACGAAGCAGATACATGTTCTTCCTTCCCATGCCCCGGGAAAGGGTAGGGAAATGCACTGGCCCAGCTGCTCACCCAGAAAACAAAATCATTCCAGAATATCTCAACCTGTTAATGGAAAATCTGGAGACCTGCAGAAAGGGTAAAGGTAAAGGCTCCCACTTCCCCCAGGTGAAAGGCTTGTTTCACCTTTATTCCAGTCCAGTGCAGCCTGGTAGAGAAGTAGCAGTACTATCATTACAGAGTAAGCAAAACAAATTTCCATTACAATACTTCTGCACACAGATCTATAAGCCCTTTGTTCTATATGCTTTTGGTTATTCTTTTCTCCCTTCAGCAGTATCTTCTACACTAAAATGGATTGGTCCACTTCCAGTGTAAGTCCAAGGGCTTTCCATGGGTGATCCCACTGGTCATATTCCTAACACCACTACCCACTGCTTCTGGCAAGCCTGTCTCCATAAACAATGGTGATCACAATCTGCTGCCAAAGACTGAACTAGATATGGCCACAGGGAATAACAGGTCTGTTAGAAGCTCTGGAAAAGGGGCCAGAGTGATAACACAGTAGGTAAGGCATTTGCCTTGCATGTGTCCAACCTGAGTTCGATTCCCGGCATCCCATATGGTCCACTCTCAGGTGCACACCCTCAGGAGCAATTCCTGAATGTAGAGCCAGGAGTAACCCCTGAGCATCGCTAGGTGTGACCCAAACAGTAGTACTGTAGCACTGTCCTCCCGTTGTTCATTGATTTGCTTGAGCGGGCCCAGTAACGTCTCCATTGTGACACTTGTTACTGTGTTTGGCATATCAAATACATCATGGGTAGCATGCCAGGCTTTGCCGTGTGGGTGAGGAACTCTGGGTGAGGAACTCTCGGTAGCTTGCCAGGCTCTCCGAGAGGGGCGGAGGAATCAAACTCGGGTCGGCCGTGTGGGCCACGTGCAAGGCAAACACCCTACCCGTTGTGCTATCGCTCCAGCCCCGACTCAAAAAGTAAAAATAAAAAAAAAATTCTTCGGAAAGAACTTCCTCCCCCACAAAAGAACACTCTGAATGAAACATATTCATCCATCAGTTTCCTTTTTCTTTGATATTGTCAGATGATCAGAACAGCTATGAGAGGGAAAGACAGAAAGAAAGTACAGGCCTCAGAGCACTGATCTCACAGAGCCACTAAGTCCTGTAACTGCAGCCCCTCCACCTGACATGCACC